ACCTACACACTCCTTTGAGTTGGAGATGACTTAGCAAGTCAGTAGGAATGATGGTTTCCTTTCTAGACTTTAGTAGTACTATGCTAATAATGAAATTTATCATTGAATTTATGATTAGGAGAGTGATTTCCCCCAAGATTTACTCATCCAGTTTTTCTCTAATGGTAGTATGTTACAATTTTCTCTAATGGTGTAGAAATGTATACCCAGTTGTCAGTTATGTATATGGTATTCATTCAGTGACTTACTGTAGAAAATAGCACAGCAGAGTGGAAGGAGCACCAAGAGTCCTAGGTTAGCATCTGCGCTGCTTGGCAGATCTCTGACTCTGGGCAAAGTGTTTGATGTCTCTTGAAACTCACTTTAGTGCTGCGTAGTACACTATCCATTTCCAGGGTTTATTGGGGATGGGGGTGGGGGTGGGGGTGGGGGTGGGGGGGAGGGTGGGGAAAGTCCTTTTTAAATGTTAAATGTGAGTCATTGTGGTAATGTTGATATCTGTAGTAGTGATCTGGCTATGGGGCCACAACACTCACAAGATTTAAAGTATCTAGTGATTATTTCCTTTGTGCTCATTTAGTTTTGATTATATAGAAAATGTTACAAAAAGGAAACTTGTCTCCCAGACTACCTTCAGCAGAAATTGTATGTGGCTGTCAAATAGTAGGAATAATTGACTTTATAATATTTATGAAGTTCAAACTGGCAATGTTTAATTTTCATGCCACTCATTCAAATCCAATGAATAATGCTTTTATTTCAGCTTATGATGCATTTCTGTTAACATACAATTTTTTTTATCACCAATGTTTTTCCAAATGTACTGTAGAAAATAGAACTCTCTTCAACTAGGCTTTAACCTACCTACCATAAATTTCTTTTTACTAAATAATTATGGTTTGGGTAAATAAAAACTTTAATTTTCAGCATAACTACCTATTGCATGATAATATCTTTTGTATGCCTATCGTTTTATTATGTCATATATTTATGAAGTCCAAACTAGCAATGTTTAATGTTTTGTGCTACTCATTCAAATCCAAGTATTGCTTTTATTTCAGCCTCATGTGACATTTCTGCTATCATACAATTTGCCAGTCACTCAGTAACATTTAGTAAGTACCTACTATGTGCCAGGAACTGTGCTAAGCACTGGTAATGCAAAGAAAGGCAAAAGATGGTCCCTGCTTTTTGAGGAGCTCACATTTTATGGCAGAAGACAACATGCAAAGCTATGTGCAAATGAGATATATACAGGATAAGTTGGGCATAATCAACAGAGGGAAAACACTAGAATTAAAGGAGATCAGAAAAGGATTCCTGTAGAAGATGTGATTTTAGTTGGAACTTGAAGGAAGCCAGAAGAGGAGAGAGAGAGAATTCTATAAATTAGGGGCGGGAATTGGAAATGCCCAGAGTCTGAAGACGGAGTGTTGAGGGAATTGAGGAGATGTCTTGTTTGAGAAACAGCAAGGAAGCCAGTATCACTGTATAAAAGAGTAGGTGGTGGGGTGTAAAGTCTAAGAAGACTGGAAAGATGTGTGTGGGAGGAGGTTTATAAAGGGATTTGAATACCTGAGGATTTTATAGTTGATCCTGGAAGGTGCCACTGGAGTTGATTTAGTAGGAGGATGACATGGTTAGACTTACACTTTAGGAAGATCATATCGACAGTTTTGTGGAAGATGAACTGGAGTGGGGACAGGCTTATCGTAGTACAGCTACCGGCAGGCTGTTCTAATGGTCCAAATATGAGGGAATGAAGGCTTGCACCAGCCAATGTTAGAGGAGAGAAGGAGGTAGATGTGAGACATGATATGGAGGTAAAAATCAACGGATTGGGTACAGGGAGTAAGAGTGAGTGGTCAAGGAAGGTGTTCGTGTGGGACTGAGATAATGCTGGTGCTTTAGACAGAACAGAGAAGTTTGGAAGAAAGATAATGAGTTCAGTCTTGGACATGTTGAATTTCAGATGTGTATAGGACATTAAGTTTGAGATGTCTTTTAGGCAATTGGAGATGAGAGCCTAGAGATCAGCATAGAGCTCAGGTTTAGATAAGTAGATTTGAGAGTCACTAATATAGGGATAATCCCTGGGAGCCGATGAAGTCATCAGGTGAAATAGTAAAGAGAGAAGAAGGCCAAGATATAACCCTGTGAGACACTCATAGTTAGCAGGCCTGACCTAGATGAAGATTCAGCAAAAGAGGTTGTGGAGTGGTCAGGTTGGTAAGAAGAGAACCAGGAGAGATCAGTGTCACAAAAACCTCAAAAGAAGAAATTGTCGAGGAGAATGTTATGGTAGCAATCTGTTAAAAGTTCCCTTATTATGGTACAGTTATGTAAAGGACATTTGTTTGAACAAAAAAGAAGATAGGCTAGTAACCTAGCCTTGAGGCCACAGGTTCCCCACCCCTGGCCTAGGAGAACCCTGACAGACTGGAAGTCCTGTTGTGGAGAAAGAACAGGTTTTGGGTTTGCAGGTCAGGGGGAGAAGGGGAAAGACAACCCTCAATAAGGGAATTTCAGAGTTCATGAAAATGGAAGTAGTGAATTTGTGGATGATGACAAGATAAAGGGTATGACCATCTTTGTGTTACTCATTACTTTGGGAAATGAGTAAGCTGACGAAGTGGGAGGTTAGGCTATTTGAGAGAGAATCAGACATGTATATTGGAAGTCCCCTAGGATGAGGGTAAGAGTTGGGGAAGACAGATTGTCATCCAGGGACTAAACTCATTATGGAAAGAAGGGGAGTATCCTGGAAGTCAGTAGACAACAGAATGTTGGTTGGGTGGTAGATATGGATTGAGTGAACCTTAAAGGAGGAGGAGTTACCAAGTGATGGTTGTAGGGGGAGCATCTTGGAAGAGCTAATGAAGAGCAAGAAATATTCCAACTGTCTTCCTCCAGGCTTTACTTTCCCATTACAAATGATATTTTAAAAATTAAATAATCACACTTGGGAGGAAATTTTAAAAATTTGACCTTAATTTAACTTTCAGCATAAACTACTACATGATACTATTTTTTTTTGCATGATTATCATTTTGATTCTGGTAATTTGTTTTCATTTCATGCCTCATTGTCTTGACAGTAGATCTTAATAAAAAACATGCCTTAAATTTTTAAAATTTTGAAATACAAATGCAAAAACATTTCATTTGAATTCAGTTCAGTTGTTTTCGGTTAAGCCACCTCACCAACAAAATGTCTCTGTGACTGTAAAGTTTTGTCCTGGATTGGATCAGGACAAAAAAATGTATTCCATTTGTTTTCCCTGAGCATATGCTGAGACAGCTGGGTGGTGCATTGGTTAGAGCACCAGGCCTGGAGTCAGGAAGACTCATTTTCGTGAGTTCAAATTTGGCCTCAGACACTTACTGGTTATGTGGCAAGTCATGTAACTTTGCCTTAGTTTCCTCATCTGTAAAATGAACTGCAGAAGATAATGGCAAACTACTTCAGTATATTTGCCAAGGAAACCCCAAATGAGGTCAAGAAGAGTCAGGCACAACTGAAACAACTGAACAATAACAATAACAACAATAACAAACAAACAACAAAGCACTTATGTTATCACCAGTGCCTCCGAGCTGGGTTTCTGCCCTATAGACCAGACAAAGTAAGTCAAGGATTTTTTTCCCCTTTCTTGTCAAGTTTCCTGATGAGAAAGTAGCTCTCCAAGATGATTAGGATCTGATATGAAACCTAGAATTTAATTTAAACTCAGCACGACGATTCATTGATGTAGAGTAGGGATTATTTCAGCTTTCTGGAAAAAGTTTAAAAATTTGACCACTGGACTTAATAGTTCATCATATGCTTCAAAAAAAACCCATGAAACTGGTTAAACAAGACTTTTAAATGTTTCTCACATGTTTAAAGCAGTATATTTGGACACCATGAGCCTACATGTAGCTATGTATTTGGAGCTATGTACATACTGGCATTAGAGCTTGCTGGTAGCATGTAGATACCACAGCTTGGGGCCTATTGTAAGGTGATGTTTTTAAAATGATATAAGATGATTTTAGTTCATAACCGTAGCATTACAGCTTGAGAGTGGTCAATAATTTAAACTCCTATTTGGAGATTTCAGTAGACAAGCCCAGTGCCCAGCAGGTAAATAATTGCCTTAAGTGATTCCTCAGGACCCAGCCTTGCTCTCCACCCACCAAAACCTCCTTTACCACACTTTCTTAATGTAGTTTGAGTGATGTTTGGGGTTGCAAGGTACAGTACAAGGAGGGGGTGGAGCACCACAAGACAAAACATAGCATGAGCAGGGGAAATACAATACAAAAAGGTACTCAGGGAGGGTGGAAACATATGCGGTTCACTGGGATGCCCAGTTAAAGCAGCTGCCAAAATCTGCGAATTTGCCATACTTTTTATAGGGTTGAGTCAGGCAGGACTAGACATTGGGGGGAGGAACACGGGCGCCTTGCCTGGTTGTGCCGGTCACTGTTGCAGGATTTGTGCAGATTCATGCTAGGAGAGCAGCTTCATTGGTAATCCAGCTCCCTGCCAGCAGGAAACGGGGCTTTCTGCCTTTTGAGCTGTCCTTCCTTTGGCCACGTGGGATTTAGGCTTCAGCAGGGAGGCTCCTTAGTGAAGTTTTTTGTACACTGTTGCCTGACGTGCAGTTTTTGGATGCTCATCCCTTAGTCATTTCTATTTTACCTCCTTAGGACTTTTTTAACTTGCCCAACGCAAGACTTGTGATCGTATCTGTGAATAAAGATTTAGAAAGCAGTGTTATAATTTACATCTTTAACTTTGCCTTTTGAATATTTCCAGGAGTCTTTCTTTAGCTCAGTCAATTTTACGCCATTGCAGGTGAGTCCTTCTGAAAAAGAGTGAGATGAGAGTGGTTTTGTCTGCTTTAGCAATCTTCCTCTCAATTTTTTTTTTGAAATGCAGCATGAAGTATGTTAAATTGTGACTCATAATATTTAAGAAAGAACTTAGCTTTCTTTTTTTTTTCCTACCCACAGAAACGTTCCAGAGGCCAAGTGCTATTTGACAAAGTGTGTGAACATCTGAACCTGTTAGAAAAAGACTACTTTGGTTTAACATACCGGGACACCGAAAACCAAAAGGTGAAATATCCATTAGGGTTATCTCGTATTAAGAGCAAGGAAAATGTCTTGGGACTAATCTGCCTTTTCATTGAATAAACTGAACTAACCTAACCGCTTATTTTGCATATTTTATGGGTTACGTTCTCTTTTTCTTTCTATCTTTTGAATCCCTAGGACTTCTAATTTCATCCGCCTTTCCCCTACACTTAACTCCTACCTTATCTTACCAGAGGTCACTTAATTGCTTTACTTTATTGTTCTGAAAACCCCTGGGCTCCAGACCCAGTTTTGACAGTACTGATCTGTGAGGCCTAGAACAAGTCATCAAGCTTCCTGAACTTAAGTTCCCTGATCTGTAAAATGAGTGAGTTAAAGTAAATTAAAAGCAGCTAGGTGGCACAGTGGGTAGCGTGCAGGACCTGGAGTGAGGAAGAGTCATATTCCTGAGTTCAAATCTGATCTCAGACACTTACTAGTTGTGTGACCCTGGACAAGTCATTTAACCCTATTTGCCTCAGTTACCTCATCTGTAAAATGAACTGGAGAAGGAAATGGAAAACCATTCCAGTAACTTTGCCAAGCAAACCCCAAATGGGGTCATGATATACACAACTAAAACACCTGAACAACAACATTTAGATCTGTCAGTTAACAAGAGCTTGCGATATAACAGACATTGTGCTAAGTGCTGGGGCTACAAAGGAAGGCAATAAACAGTCTCTGCCTCAAGGAGCTTACATTCTAATGGGGACATGGACATAAATAGGAACATATAAGATACACAGAGTAGATGGAATATAACCTCTGAGAGGAAGATTTTAACAGCTGAGAAACCTGGCAAAGTCACTAATGTAGAGGTGCTTTTCTGCAAAGAACAGAGGAATGGACCAAACATCAATTATATGTTAAATTACATGTATCTAATTTCATCAAGCTATTTGTTTGATCATGCTGACCCTCCTGTAATTGCTTTTCTATTTCTATGCTAGATTGACCCCTTAAAACCAATGATAGTAAACTAATTTCTTGAAAAGTACATTAAAAATGAACTGCCTATAGTTCTGTCCACGATCAGTGACTGAGAAGAGTGTCTAGAAAAATATAATGCCTGACAGGAGGAGAAGGAGCATCCAGTTGGAGTTAATGGTGTGACGGATTTGGGTAGTGCCAGTTGCAGTAAGGAATCACCCTGGGCGAGATTAGTAAGTGTGTGTGCTTAATGACCCCCAAATTACTTTTAACCTTCTGATTTAATTCCAAAATCTTACTTCTTTTTCAGAACTGGCTAGATCCTGCTAAGGAAATCAAAAAACAGATCCGAAGTAAGTGTTATTGAATTCTTTTTTGGACTGTTGGAAAGAATGTGGGGAGAACTTGTAGAGAAGTGGAGCTTTGAGCTGGTGACTAATGGCTATGCAGAAAATACTATAAATAGTATTATATAAGAGAGGTTAAAACCACAGGCCCCTCATTATAGCTCCTATTTTTACTATTTGCAATGAATCTAGTGGTGAACAACACATTCTATGTACCTAGGTGCTTAATAAGCCTTATTTATTTAATTGAACTTCTAGCATTCTATTAACAATGACTGCTCTTTTCATTTTCACAAGCTATTATAATTAAAGAGAAGCTTTTTAAAAAAAATATTTAAATCTAGGCAGATTTTTTTTCAGGAAATTATTTTAGTGAATGAAAATATAAATGTAATAAATATATTTATGCCCACACATTTCTCCACTGATACTAATAACAGCTATCATGTATATAGTATTTTAAGGTTTTTAAAATACTTTGCATGTTATCTTATTTGAGAGAGGATTACACTATTGGGATTGATCTTTATCCCAGAGATTCTTTACATGGGGTCTGTGAGCTACTTTTCTTTGAAATCCTATATATTATACTTTAGGAATTTATAAACATTATTATGTACAGATCAAAGCATATTATTTTCACTTTATCTTTTTCATGTTTTTTCCCCTTTTGTTCTGTTTCTTTCACAACATGACCAGTATGGACACATATTTTACATGATTGCACATATATAGCCTATATCAAATTGCTTGCCATCTTAAGGAGAGGGGAGGCAAGGAAGTAAGGAAGAAAATTTGGACTCAAAATTTTATATAAAAAAAGAATGTTAAAAATTATTTGTACAAGTAATTGGAAAAAATAAAATACTTCCTACTGGGGAGAAAGAACACATCATTATTCTGAGGAGCCCATTGGTTTCTTCAAACTGCCAAAGGCATCCATGACACGAAATAGTTTAGAAACCCCTGCTCTATACTTAATCAATCATATAGTTCACATAGTTTTTAGTTGGCCATTAACAAATCAAAAGTAGCTAACTTGTAGATAGTCTTGTTATAAGAATATAGAAATCAAGGAAATGGAAATTATTATTTCACATTAGAAATGTAATTATATGTCAGCATAATTTTTTTGGGGGGGTCAGCTGGTCTGCTCTTTCATTGGTCCTTAAAAGCCATTAAAGGAGTTGCTTTATCATTATTCACAGAATCCAGCCTATCTTTCTTAGAGTCCAGTAAATGAATTCATTCAGATTAAAAGTACCACATTTCCTCTTTTCAACAACTACTATGAGTAGAAGGAACAAATAACTTCTTCCAACTGCCTATGGAATAAGTTACTTTGAGATAAAAATGCCCACAAAAAGATAAGATAAATCAATATGCAACTGATAAGTAACTGCTTAAAACTCCACTGTAGCAAAACCATGGAGGTTTCTTCAAAGAAAAAAAAAAACCCACAACATCCCAAAGCCTAATCTCTTGGTATTGATAGTCCTGATAATTTATACAATTAAACCTCCTTTAACACACACTTTAAATTTTGTTTTATGTGTTTCCTAACCAGCAACTTGTCAGAGAAGTAGTGTGACAGTAACAGATTAACTAATATTAAAGCCAGGGATGACTGCCGTTGTGATAAATAGTTGAAAATACAATTATTTTTTGCTTTGGAGAGTTTTTAAAAAAATTTAGATGATGAAATTTTCTCAAGAGCTTTCTCTGTAGTCATAGGAAACCACATGTAGTCACATAATTAATGCATAGTAATTAGTACTCTTCTAACTAATAATTGCAAAGTACTTTGAAAACGTAACCCTACAAATAAGAAACTATGATACTATTAGCAAAAAGCCTGCTTGAATAGTTTAATTTGGTTACAACTTGTTGCTAGAATTCTATTTTCCCATTGTAACTTTATATTTTGTCTCCTACCTGTCCTTTCTAAGAGTGGAAAACCAAAGGAAAGAATGAGCTATCAGACTTTGTATGTTTTCCATTATACAGATCACATTTACATGTACCTTGCTCATTTTGAAGAAAATTAAATGATCTTGCCCATTGATAAGAACACAGAAAAAAAAAATTGGGATAAAAATAGATTTTAAAGACAGCATATAAAATTATCTATAGCAATTCTTGTTTATACAACATTACTTCTGTCTTATTAGAACTTCTCCCATTTTAAAATTCAGTTAGACAATTCTGTGATTCTATGTGTGTATGTACATGTGCACACATGTGTGTAATGGGTATATGAAATACTTGGGACAGAGTAAAAGCATGTAAATTTATTGACATAAAATAAACCACACAACTTTTTTGCATTATTAGAAAACTCTAAATATATTTAATAAGTTTTCTAATTGCAAATCTGCTATGCCACTCTTTCCAAATATGCAACACAATTATCATGTAAATTTATTTTTTCTTTCCTCTCTCTACCCCCCAATCCTAGAGATGTCTATCATTAGACGTGTGTGTGTGTGTGTATGTGTATGAACTATTATATCCATAAACTTTTGCATATTTCATTGGAGTAACAGTGTGCATATGTGTGTGTATACATACATGCATACAGACATACATAAATATATATCTATATATATACACACACACATCCATGTATACGTGATCATATTTTTCCATACAAAAAACATTGCATGGTGATGGCATCATCCCATGATCTTCATCAGTTTATCTATTCTAAACCACTCCATTTTCTTCTACTATTTCCTTGCTTTTACTTTTGTCTCTGTATCCATGTTTTTCTATATTTCTGATTCTTTTCTTCCCCACTTGACAAGCCCCTTTATCCCTTTAATCAAAACTTATATGAGGTTATATTCTTTCTCAAGCAGCAAACTGTAAGCTCCACAACATGACTACCACCAATCCTACCTCCCCAGAAAAAAAATAATAAAAGTGTAATGTTCACATCTATTTAATGTGTCTCTAGACCAAAGGCCTACAAGCCACATGTGGGCCATAGTACTAAGTGCAATTGAAACCAGATGAAAATAGAATTGGGAATTATTTAACCAAAAAAAATAATAAGATAGGCAATATTACACTTTAAAACTAAATCAGTGTGTGGTCCACAGAGATCCTTATTCTGCATTAGTAGCCTACATTTTTTTTGAGTTTGACACCATAGCCCATAGTCTTTTGAAAGGTAGAGATCATATCTTTTTGTATGTTTCAATGCAGAACTTAACACTTTGCAGGCACAGTCCAATTTGAGAATTTTCTATGCATTTTGTCTCTTATTTTTCTCCAAACATTTCCTGTGAGTGATGTTATTACTGATTTCCTTTGCTTGTATCATCAGATAGAATAGCAGTTCTTAACCGATAGTCCATGGAATCCAAAGAAGTCCATGGCTGGAATTTAAGGGGTCTGTAGAGTGTAGCACAAATTATTCTTATTTCAGTAATGTATTTCAATACAGTTAGTTTCCTTTGTAATCCTATGTGTTTTACTTTATGCATTTTAAAACATTATTCCGAAAAGTGTACTATGCATAGGCTTCCCCAAACTGCCTGAGGGGACTATGACACACAGAAGTTTAAGAATTCGAGAGGGAGAGAGAGAGAGAGAGAGAAGAAAGGGTAGAACTCAAAGCAATAAATTTTACTGGTTGTTAAGAGATGTTAGTAAAAAATTTGACAATAAGATTGTAACTGTTAACAAAAATCCCTGATATTTAGAGTTAACTATCCTATCCCTGTTTTATCATGGATAATCTACAGGTTTCTGGATGTGGTAGTTGTGAATAGATGCTAATTTGGTAACTGTTTGGAACTATAAATGAAAAGAGATTCTGTGAATTTCTGTTTTTCTGCAGGTGGTGCTTGGCAGTTTTCATTTAATGTGAAATTCTATCCACCAGACCCTGCCCAGCTATCTGAAGATATCACCAGGTATTTGAAAAAATAAATATGAAAGTCTCAGGCACAGTAGGAGGAAAGATCTTTTTCCCAAGTTCCCTTGAGAACAGCTTTGCTTGTTTCAGATAGACTCTAAGTCAGCCACTTTCACTTGGCAAATTGATAGCAACTGGTTGGTAATAAGGAAAATGATAACATTGTCAGAAATGAAGGATGTTCACTGTTGAATCTTTGATTCTGGGTTGATACTTCCATGTACTTTTTTTTTGTAATTTTTTTTTATTTTAAATTTAAATATAAAAATGAGAAAAGAAAAAAAAAAGATTGCCATGTACACAGTAGACCATAAGAGAGGATTCAATAAAGAACAATAAATTTCTTTTTCAGGAAAACCTATATAATAAATACTACATATTGTTTTCAAAGCTGCCCAGCTTTTCTTTGCTTCCTTGTTGATTTTCTTTTGTTCTCTGCTGTGCACTTTTTACTTTATTTTTTTCCCCTCCCTGCCCCCCCCACCCTAAAGAAGGCTACAATTAAGCATTTCCACACACATACACACACAGATAGATAGAAAGATAGATAGATATAAACATACACATATATACACACTCATATACATATATGTAAGACCATAGTATGCTTATTTTCTCCAACCATCTGTTTCTCTGAAGGTGGATAATGCCTTCCTTCATAAGTCAAAGTCTTTCCATGTTTTTCTAAATCAAAGCTCATCATTTTCTACACTACAGCAATATTCCAATCCAATCACATCCTGAGAGATTTTCTATGAACGTTCTCCACTCCCTGCCCCCCAATTTTATGCATACCTTCTATTTTTGGCTACGATAGGTTTTATTTATACAAGATTATTTTAATTTAAAATAATTGAAATTATCTTTTTTGTACTTCAACAATGCTCTCACCTTATACTATAGTTTAAGGACTGATACTGCTGAATCTACTTCCTTTACATCTTTTTTCCCTGGTTTATTTGAAGTTTCAGATTTTTGTTCTTCCAAATGAACTTTGTTATTATTTTTTTCTAACTCAGTAAAATAATTTTTTAGTAATTTAATTGGGATGATATTGAATAAATAGATTAGTTAGTAAATTAATTTACTAAATTAGTTACTAATTTACTAAATTAGTTAGTAAAATTGTCATTTTAAAAATTATATTGGGGGTCAGCTAGGTGGTGCAGTGGATAGAGCGCCAGCCCTGGAGTCAAGAGTTCAAATCCAGTCTCAGACCAGACACTTGACACTTACTAGCTATGTGACCCTGGGCAAGTCACTTAACCCTAATTGCTTCATAAACAAAACAAAACAAAACAAAAATTATATTGGGCTTTAACTACCCATGAACAATAAATATTACTTCAGTTATTTAGATCTGAATTTATTTGTATGAAAAGTGTTTTATGTTTTTGTCAATACAGTTCCTAGGCCTGTTTTGGCAAGTATATCCTCAGGTATTTTTTACTGTCTAAGCATTTTAAATGGTCTAAAACACTATTGAATAATATTGCTGACACATAGTGAAGTTTCTCTGTTTTTCACATTTGATTAAATCTATTTTAACTTTAACTTTGTCTGAGACCATGATTACTATCTCTCCTTTTTTTATATACTAAATTCTACTCCTGCCCTTTATTTTATTTTTGTGTGTATCTTTCATTTTAGTAATGTTTCCCAAAAGCAACATATTGTTGAATTTAAATTTTTAATCTGCTATCTGTCTCCATTTTATGAGTAAATTCATCCCATTCACATTCTAAGCTACAGTTACTTATTGTGTGTTTTCCTCCTTCCTATTTTTCTCACTATCTTTCTCACCGTATTTACCCTCTCCCTCCTCACTCCTGTCCTTCTACCTGCTACCTTATCCTCCTATTCTTTAACCTGGCCACCACTCTGCTAGTCCCTCCCTTATCTTATCCCTCCACCCTATATCCCCTTGCCTCTTATTTCTTTCTGAATTGAGAAGACTTATAACCTTCTAGATATATATGTTGTTCTACCTTTAACCCATTCCCGATGAGGGTAAGGTTCCAGCACTACTCGCCCTCCCCCTATTATCTTCTTCTGTATCAATTTTTCCTTTTATGCCTCATTTGTTTAATTACTCCTTTTTGTCTCTCCCTACACAGTTTTATTTTTTATCAGCTCAGCCCACCCTTTTCTTTCAAACTACCCAAATAATGATGACAATCATAAGAGTACTGTTAATATTTTCACAAATACAAAATATATTATCTGACCTTATTGAGTCCCTTATTATTGATCTTTAATGTTTACCTTATATTTCTTCTGGATGTTATATGTTGAATTTTCCTATAAGTTCTGGGGTTTTTATCACAAAAACCTGAAAGTCTTTGAGTTCATTAAATTTCCATTTTTTTTTTTTTCTGTTCAGGATTATACTTAACTTTGCTGGGCAAGTTACTGTTGGTTGTAACTTAGCTCTTTTGCTCTATAGAATATAATATTCCAAGACCTACGGTCCTTCAACATAGAAGCAGATTGTTTTGGTGTTTTTTTTGTTGTTGCTTCCATATACTTAAAAAAAAATTATTCTTTTTATTCTGAATTTAAGAAATAAAACAAGCATTTCCGTAACATAGTAGAATAGAAAAAAATGATTATACATGAAACTATGGATCTATTATGTATAACTTGCTATTCTTTTTAAATATAGAATAAAGTTATCATATGACTTTCTTTTTTTCCTTTTTTTTCCCCTCCCCCTCACCCCTGTCATAGAGATGGCTACCATTAGATACAAATGTGTGTGTGTGTGTGTGTGTGTGTGTGTAAAGCCATTCTATACATCTATTTATCAGTTCTTTCTCTGGATGTAGAGAGCATCTTAATAGTTCCTTTGTAGTTAATTTGGGTATTTATAATCGTCAGAATGACTTAGTCACTCTTAAAAAAAACTGTTGTTACTGTATACAATATTTTCTTGGTTCTGCTCATTTCGCTCTTCCCTATACTTTTAACTGGTGGAAAAATATACAGGTGTGAGTGCTGACTTGCAGTACTGCTACAGTAGGGTTAGGTAGACTTCCCAGCTTTAGAATTAGTCATCATGCCAACAACACATCTCTGTTTAGACATTAGAAAGTAAATCTAAAGCCCTGATTCAAGTCCATACTGTGAAAGTAAATTATACTCAAGTAGAAAAGCCATAAAATGAGAGCATAAGTGCTGATTTACATTTTTTTTTGGCCTCCATAAATGTTGCCAGGATGTCACAAGTATGATTTTTGATGTCCTTGATGAAATAACACCCTCCTCCCTCACTTTGCAAGCCAGTAATTATGTATTAGAAAATTATATTGTAAGGACTCACACCAAATATTTTTGCAAAGTGTGTTCATGCAGATCAATGGATTTGTTTAGGAGATATTAGTGGAATCATTTCATATGATTCTTTTACGTGTGTGTGTGTGTGTGTGTGTGTGTGTGTGTGTGTGTACACATATACATACTTTATTAACAAAATCTTACTCAATTAATTTCCTCTATGCAGCTGATTCAAAGGTCTTCTAATTATACCTTGCAGTAAGAGTCAGCCCATGGATACATGTGCAAACACATACTCAGAATTTGTTTCAGGACAGCCCATGATTCTATCATTCTTCAAATACTATAAATCATCCAGAGTTATCAGTGACTTGGACTCTTGGTTGCTCAGTGATGAAGAATAATTCTCCATTAAATTTATGGACGTCAAACCTGAAGCCAAAGCATGGCTTTGACTTAATTCCAACAGAAACAGATGTCCTTATCTACATACTAAAATATTCTTAGGATGGTTTGTATATTTTAGAAACTAGTTAAATAGTCATTGTAGTGGTTTTTTTTTTCTTGTTGTTGTTTGTTTGTTTGTTTTGTTTTAAGGTAACATAGACATTTTCTCTTAGCTCCTGGGCACCATCTATGAAAAAGAAGTTGTAGCGGGCAAGGGAAAATTCCTCCCACCACTATATGCTGAAAACAATGCAATCGTTCGTCTAAGCTCTGTTCTTTGTCTTTGGAAGGTACTACCTCTGTTTGCAGCTGAGAGATGATATAGTATCAGGGAGGTTGCCATGTTCTTTCGTCACACTCGCCCTCTTGGGATCCTATACTGTTCAGTCTGAACTTGGAGACTATGACCCAGATGAATGTGGAAGTGATTATGTCAGTGAATTCCGTTTTGCACCAAACCATACAAAAGAATTAGAAGATAAAGTAATTGAGCTACACAAGAGTCACAGGTGAATAGTAAAAATACTTAAAGCTTTTTGCATAGGTTCACTTTGGGAATGGGAATATTATCTATATCAGGGGTGGAAAGCCTGTGGCCTCCAGGCCACATGTGGCCTCCAGGCCACAGGCTCCCCACCGCTGATCTAGATAAACTCTTAATTTTCCCAACAAATCTAGTTCTATCCCCCACGAAATTAGTCATCTTTGGCTGAATGGACCCTTTATATACTATGTCTGACTCAGAATATTAAAATACTTAATTCGAATTTTTTATCTTAAATTCTTTTCTCATTATTCTCCTTGGTGCTTTCTGAGTATCTCCTATCAATCTAGAATAGATTTTGCTACCAAGTATTGTATAAGAAAGGCCTAATGCCTTAGATAATAACTTGTTTAGCTGATAGCCAAGTAGCTAATTCTATGGAAAAAACTCCTTTCTTGACCATGTTTAAACTTTTGATTTTTTTTTCTTTTTTCTTCAGGGGAATGACACCAGCAGAAGCAGAGATGCATTTCTTAGAAAATGCCAAAAAATTATCCATGTATGGAGTTGATCTACATCATGCCAAGGTAGATCAATGTTTTAATTTATATTTCTTTCTCCTTCCCCAGATTCTCCCTCACCCTAACCAAGCCTTAAACATTGGGCTCATAAGATGGGTTATCATTCCCTTCACCCATTCAGTTAGAAGCAATTTGAGTGTATGTGGAAAAATTAGCTATTCTTAGAGAAGCAATAGGTCTTAACTGGTGTGGGGAATCTGCCACATGTGGCCTTGAGGCTGCAGGTTCCTCACCCTTGCTTCTGCAGAACTACAGAAAAATCAAAACATGTTTTAAAACCAAAAAATATATATATATGGGTACAAATTTATGCAGTGATCACTCTCTGTGTCCTTTGTTAACTTGTTTTCCATCCTTTCTTTCTTAAAGGATATTTTTAAAGGATCATTCCTTGGAACTTTATTCTTTTTTTTTTCCCCTTCTCCTCTCCTCTGCTCTGGTCCTTTGTACCTTGCACATTGCCTCACATGTATTAAGCACTTAATAAGTGCTTGACTGATTCTGTTGAGGTATAGGTTCCATGTTTTAGGAAAGATGTTAATAAGTTGGAGAATATATTGAGGGAAAACAACCTTCAAGGAAAAGGATCTCAAGTTTATAGTATAGAAGGCTTGGTTCAAGGATTTTGGTGAGTTTAACCTGGAGAAGAAAAGATTTAATGGGGATATGGTAAATGTTAGTCAGCATTGTGAAGGCTGTTATGCGGAAGAGGTAATAGGCTTATGCTACTTGAACCTAAGGGGCAGCTAGGTGGCCTGGTGGATACAGTGCATGCCCTAGAGGGAGGAAGACTCATTTTTCTGAGTCAAATCTAACCTCAGACACTTATTACATGTGACCTTGGCACTCTGTTTGCCACATAGTCCTCATCTGTAAAATGAGCTGGAGAAGGAATGTTAAACCACTCCAGTATCTTTGCCAAGTATACTCCAAATTGGATCACGAAGAGCTGGACGTGACTGAGCAGCAGTAACAACAAGTTTGGACCTAAAGAACAAAAAAGAAAACAGTGAGTTGAAGTAGCGAAGATGCACAATAAGTTTGGTGTAAGCAACTACAATGAGAATTATCCACAAGTTAAAGGATCTGCTTCAGGAAGGTGGCACGTTGTCCTTCACGGGGGATCTTCAAGGAGAGGCCCAATTACCATTTGTGAGTTAAGCTGTTGAGGAGATTTTTCTTGTGGTATAGGCCTGACTAGATCACCTCCAAGATCCTTCCCAGTTCTAAGATACTGTGATGATTCCAAGTTAAGACACTTTTTTGGATTCAAATGTCAATGTTATAATAATATGTTGTGTAATCTTTGGCCAGTCACACCCCATACCTCAGTTTCCTTAAGTATACAATAAGTGTTTTAGTTTCAATGACAACCTAATGTTGGGTTGTTTTTTTTTTTTTTCATCTCTCGAGTTTGACTTTCCTCTCACCATATCACTCACTTTGACCTCTTAATTATGTTTCATCTCTGTATTTCCAATTGACAGCTAGACATTTCTCTTTAAATATTTTTACTCAAATTCAAAACCAGAAGGGGCTTCTATTCTCATTCTCACACCCTGAACGTACACATTTTTGCACATTTCCAATACCAACATCATTTTTTCCCAGTCGTAACCCAAAAGCTTAGTCATTTGGGAATTATTCTTTATTCTCAAATCAATCACCATCTTGTTAGTTAATTCTTCCTTGAAAATTTTTTTTTTATCTTTTCCTGTCTCTGCTTTCACCATCTCTGTGGACGTCCTCATCACCTCACACTTGGATTTTTGTGATAGTCTCCAAATTAATTTCTCTGTATCTCATTTTTTTCCTCCCCTCATTGCTTCCTACATAGATACCTAGACTTAAAACATTGCTTTTTCTATATTTTTCCTCCTCTATTCAAGAATTTATAATAACTCTCCATTGACTGTTGAATAAATTTCAAACATGATGCAGGTTAATGTAATCAAGAGGTTAAAATGTTTTGGATTTAGAGGTCCTTGGTGTGAATCCAAGCTCAGCTATTTACTTACCTATGTGAGGCAAATCATTTTAATTTTCATTGGCCTTAATTTCCTCATATATAAAATAATGGGATTGAACTTTATGGTACAGTAAAGCCTCTTTCATCTCTGATTCTTTGATCTTTATTTTGACATTTAAAATCTTCCATAATCTAATCCTACTTTATTTGTCCAAACACATCTCCCATTTTTTGCTTCCACGTGCTCTTCTGTCTCAGTCTGCTGTAGTCTCCTTCCTTTCCCCTAAACAGCATGACTTAACCAGGCTTCTCTTTGGTGCTTTGTTCTCCGTTTTCTTCAACATTGCTGAAATGCCTCGCTTTATCTTATTTGTCTGATCTTCAGACAATGAGGAGTGGCCCAGCTCTACTCAGTTCTCTTCTCCTTGGTGTCTCCAGGCCACAATTAACTCACCTGTTTTTAGTCATAGCTTGACTTTAGTCCACATTTTGGCACTTAATTATTTTGTTTTGTGTTTCATTTTATGTAAATCTTTCTCTCAACAGATTCTGAATACATACCAAAAGCTTGTTTTGTTTCTCCCCTGTTTCAACTACAGTTTTTATACAGTTCACAGGATCAGAAATCCATAGCTGGAAGGGAACTTGGAGACCATCTAGTTCAATCCCTTCATTTTACAAATAGGGAAATAGAGGCCCCAAATGGTTAGGAAACTTGCTTACAAGTTGTCTGTGGCAGAATAAAGTTAAAATACACATCTTGTTGCTCCAAGGTCATTGTCCTTTCCATCACACCCAACTCCCTAGTGCATTTGACACCTACAGTAGCCATTCAAAATGTATTTGTTGAATTGAATGAATTTGTCGAATGTCTTTGAACCTCAAACTTCAGGTGCTATGGACAGTACCCTACTTTAAACATGATATTTTGAAGTCTTTCTTAAAATCTTTGCCACTGTTTTGGAGCATGTCCAACACAATGAAGTTCTTCAGAAGCTTCTGGTTTGCGTTTCACCTTTTAGTGAATGAATAATGCTCTGGAACATTGCAGTGCCTCCTGAATCAGTTCTATAATCACTGGAAATAGTTCAACCTAATTATTTATCTAGGAAAAACCAAATGGATGAAAAATGTCTTCTTGTCCAGGGTATGATATACTTTTGGGGGAACACCTCAAACCTCTGGAATTTAGATTGGTTGTGAGTTGAACTGCTGATACAAATCCTATTCCAATGGCAATTCATTTTTTCTTTTGCCTCTATACCCAGTAAAATCACAAGGAAATTGTAAAAGATTCCTATGCCAAGCATCTAATTGTGGCATGGAATCAGAGATGCAAATTTAAAATAAGTGTCACAGAGTCATTTTTTATAAGTTTCTAAGTTTTCCATGTTGTTGATTATTTTAAAGTTTGGATAATGGAGAAGAAGAGAAAAACAGGAAGCTGGCAGACTTTACACATTTTAAAAATGGAGAATTAGCCTGATGCCTCGTAAAAGTAGAAAGAATTAGGGCAAAATTTCAAGCAAGTTTTGATCTAAGATGTTCACAAAAATTCAACTAAATAAAATCAGATTATAATAATAGCTAATCATTGAAAATAGCATTCATAATATGGTTTCAAATAGTGCAAATAAGAGAAAATTAATTTGTCCCCAGAAATAAAGGTAGTGTGAATGCAGGCATGTAAATCATTTCATTGAGATATTAAGCAGAGTACTTCAGTGATAGACCCGGATTTTTAATGCAGCGGAAATTCATCATAATTTCATAATTTCCAAAAGGAAAGTTACTAAGTGAAATGAGAACTGATTTCCAATTATAAGTGAGATCCTAGTCTTCTATTTATAGCATGAAAATCCTATGTTTTTTAGAGTCATTCGAAATAAAAATCCAAATGTTCATTTCAGTATATGTTGTGTGTTATTCTTGCATGTTTTGTGTTTCTTCTCACAAGTGTATTTTGTCAACATTGTGTCTATGTTTTGGGGGTGTTTGTTTCTTGAGGCTTTGTTTTTCTTTGTCTTTCCCATCCTAATATGTCTCTTGGGAGCAATACTTGGTATTGTGCTTATCATCTTGCATTTATAGCCAATTGTTTCACCTCTGATTTTGAAAACTGTGAGGAATTTCAATTAGATTTCTACACAGTAGAAACAACACTGAGGAAGTCAGCAGACCTAAATTAAAGCTCTGACTTTGCCACTCATGTGACCTCATGACAGTTGATCTCCAGGAAAATCACTCAATCTCTCTCAGTCCCAGTCTCCTCATCACTAATAAATAAAATAAAATAAAATAAAATTAAATTAAATTAAATGATCATGCCCTTCATGCCTGTCTCTAAGAGATCTTATAAGACTCAAATAATCATGTTTAGGAAAGCACTTTGTCAATTTTGAATGGCTATGCCCATGTAAGGCACTTTCAGTGTTTATTATAATCATCATTATTTTATGTGCCCTTCTAAATCATAGGTAGACTTCTACCTTTTTAAAAACTAATGCTTTTAACCAATAGAAATATGATATATTTTAGGCACAACTGATTTAAAAAAGAAATGGAATGTTTCAACAGTTCTAAAATTTCATTAGACCTGATGCTGAGAATTTCTAGTTCTATAAGGCCCAGCAGCTAAATTTTAAAATCTGTCATTCTTACTTGACTGTCCTTCAGTGCTCCCTTCTCAGGCTATATTATAAATGCTTGGTCAGTGATGGGTGTCCAATGAAGAGCTGTTCTAGAAAGAATGATGAAATAATTGAAATAAAGATTTCGTTTAAAAGAAAATTTGTATAATATTGCCTCCTATATGTTCCAGACATGATCAGGATTATTGTTCTCTGTCTCTAGCAATCTGTGAAATTAAGTTCTTGTCAGTGAATCTATATGTGTTTTATGGCCAGTAAATATATATATATATATATATATATATATATATATATACACACACACATACATAACAGGGCTTTTTAGGTAAATGGCAGAAATTCTTTCCATATGCCAGAGGAATCCATATTTCTCCATTTTTTCTTTTCCCAAATCACCACATGAGGAATGTATACTAGGTACTTAATCTGAGATCCTCCTAGTTTATGAGATAGGCACTGGAATTATGTATAGTTTTAGAAAATTGATTCACATAAAGGAAGCACTAGCCATTCATCAACATAAAGTGACAATTCTTCAGATGAAATGTCTTAAAGGTCTTGCTAGATAGGTATTAGACCAGCCCTTATCTTTGGAACAAAATCCACTGGCTTATTTTCAAGTTGTATTATGTATTTTCAAATATGTGTTATATTGTAATATCCTGTGGTCAATTCAATCTGCTCCCATCATCAGCTATCAAAATGAAGCAATGCATTTTCAGTATACAGGACTTTATTTTAATGTGATTAAGTTCTATTTATAATCTTATATTTTCCTTCAGATGGACCAAAAAATTATCTTTGGATTCAGGGATTTAGCTATATACCAGAGATATTAAGTAGGTAGTGTTTCTTTGAAGTGGACAGTTTAATTTGTTTCCAAATTAATTTTAAAATTTTCAGATAGGTTTTATATTCTTGACGTGCTTTTTCATTTAAAAATATTTCATTACCGTAACACACACACACACACACACACACACACATATATCTGACCCAATAGTGAATATCTAAGTTCTTTTAAAGTCACTCAAAGGTGAAATTAAGAGATTTTGATGCAAGAGTTTTGTCTAATAGCAAAAGCACTGGTGCAGACACCAAGAGGCCTAGGTTCCACATGTGAGCTTCTCCTGAGCCCCAGTCCCACATCAATAAAGTGCTGTGTGACACAGAGGCTCACTTTCCAGGGCTTAGTTAACTCCTTTCAGTTTCTGGGACTCATTTTCTTCCTTGCAAAAGGAGGGCCTTTGAGTGGGTGATCTCTCTCTACCTTTACAGCTCAGACTTTGCTTTTGTCTTTTAAAAGTTGATTAAAGGAAGCTATTGTGTAGATTGTTGTGCTATTATATTGTAACCAGCTACCTAGGATGGTTATTTTTATTTTTCTCACTGCTGTTTCTTGGGGGAAACTATCCCTTTTTCCTCTCTCAATTTATGATGAATTATGTAATTATGGTATAATTATGGCAGCTAGATGGCACAGTGGATAGAGTGCCAGACCTGAAGTCTGGAAGACTCGTCTTCCTGAGTTCAAATCTGACCTCAGACACTTACTGTGTGATCCTGGGCAAGTCACTTAACCCTCTTTGCCTCAGTTTCCTCATCTATAAAATGAGCTGGAGAAGGAAATGGCAAACCATTATGGTATCTTTGCCAAGAAAACCCCAGTTGGGGTCATGAAGAGTCAGACATGACTAAAAGTGACTGAACAACAATGAAAATGTAATTATGAAACTTTCTAATTTAAGGTCATAAATGTATTACATGTAACGGAATTTTCATATTTTAGAGGGTGTCAATTGTAGGTAATATTTCAGTGGCCATGAAGATTGACCTTTCTAAAATACTGTGGATAGGAGATGTTTAGTGCCTCCCACATAGCAGACCCTTAATAAGAGCTAGTTGATTGAAATGATATTTATACAAGAATTGTAAGTTGAGATTAAAAAGATCATAGAATCACACAATTTTTGAATTTGTAAAAGTTGTCAGAGACTATCCAGTTTGGAGTTCTTAGCCTTTCTCATAGATCCCTTGTCAGTCTAGTGAAATCTATGGACTCCTCTATTAATAAAGTATATAAGGCTATAAAGAGAAACAATTCTGTTGAAATGTAGTTATAAAACTATTTTAAAAACAAATTCATGGACTTTAGGTTAGGCCATGATCTAGTCCAACCTATATTCACAGAAATGATCCCTTTTATCACTTAGCCAACAAGTAACCAACTAAGCTTTTCCTGAAGACCTCAAATAAGGGAAAATAAATATTAGCTCACATTTGTATAGAATTGTAAAGATCATAAATAGCTTTAGACACATTTTTCATTGTTCAACATTTCAGTTGTGACTGACTCCCTGTGATCCTATTTTGGATACTGGAATGGTTTTCCATTTTCTTCTCCAGCTCATTTTACAGATGAGGAAACTGAGGCCAACAGGGTTAACTTACTTGCCCAGGGTCACACAACTAGTAAGTGTCTGAGGCCAGATTTGAACTCAGGAAGATGAGTCTTCCTGATTCTAAGTCCAGTGCTCTATCAGCCACACCACCTAGCTGCCCCCTTTAGACATATTACATTGTTTAATTCTCACAACTCTATGGATCTTTGTTTATTTAATAAGATTTAAAATAATTTTCTGACTTTGATAAGAGATGGGATGTCTATATGAAGTGGCCATCATTTCTTGACTTTTGCAGTGCTGGGGCATTTCATGTTTATGTTGCTTTGTTGATGTCATTGTTTAAGCCTTTTGCCTTTATTCAGACTTTGGACAAACTATAACATGCTATGAGTTTTTTAGGCTTTTTATTTTCCTGGACAGTTTAACAATCAAGCCACGGGTGTAGTTATCATTACTTTTGATGCATTTGCAACTTAAAAATGAAGAGTACTTTGGCCTTAGGATTCATCCTGCATTCACAGGCACCGATTGGTTATGTCATTCATTTTAATTCCTTAGCTACTTTTAAAGAAACACTTTTAAGCATGATAATTCGATGGAAAGAAACCTTCATGTATCATTTTGTATAGTACTTCATAGTTTAATGGTTCATTGGATTCCTAGTTATGTTGCTAATACACACTAGTTTGGGAATCTTGGGTGAGTCATTGAACCTCTGTGAACTTGAATTTCCTTATTTGGAAAATGAGATTAATAATACCATCCTCATGGGATTATCGTGAGGATTGACTGATATATATGAAAGCATCATTAAATTTACTAAAACATACAATTTTTCTTTTGGTTTCCCAATTTGATTTCTCCATTTCCTTTTAAAATATGTCTCAGCCTGTAGTATTTTAAATGGTTTCTGCTTGGAAAATAACCACATGACCACTACCAACCCTTTATTTACTCCTTGACATCATTACTAAATAGTTGCCTTGGTTCACATCGGAACCAAAAAGTAGACCTCAAAATAGTTCCAAAACTTTGTCCCAGTTTCTCATTTGGATGACGCTTTAGGATACCTTGGGAGCACTGAAGAATCATTGCTACCCACTCTAGCTTAATGTGATCGCATATCAAGGCACTCACTGCATAAAGTAATTTACTTGGATTTAGGCTGTGATTTTTGGGCTAAGATTTCCCTTCCTTGTAATACTTCTATGTTGTTGGCAGGACTCCAGAACACAGTGGAATATTTTCCCCAAGGCATGGCAGATTTGGGTGATCATCATGATTTGGCTCTTCCCTTTTTCCCAGTGACATTAAAAGAATGTGAGAGCAGAGGAGGAGGTGGCCGTGCCAGCTGTTGATAAAAATGATCCAAGATTCGTATGCATGCTATTAGCCCATGAGTATTCCTATCCATTACCATGGTGTAAACACACACACACACACACACACACACACACACACACACACACACACAAAACACAAAACACAACAGTGCAGTTGTCTTCCAAACATAACTCTAAGGCTGGCCTTTTTTTTTTTTTTTTAAGCTAGTTTCTTCTTCAAAGCTGTTTTTTATTTACTTACATTTAAAAAAAATTTTGAGTAGAGGCCTGCAACTGGCGAAATTTGCTCTGGAAGCTGATCTTGACCCTTTCTATTGGGAGACTAAAATTCATTACAATCCCTTAAAAAAGCCTGTCCATACAACCAACATTTCTAGTGAGTCATCAGAATGTTTAGGAAGTGTCTGTGGCTATTTACATATGATGTCTGCTATGCAGGAATGTACTATTTTTCTAACAAAAATGTCCTCAAATACATCAATTGTTAATGAAAACTTAATTGTGGTATCCCAAATTATAAATTAATCCTTTTAAAGGATTATTTAGTATGATGGAAACGGTACTGGGTTGGAAGTCCACAGACTTGGGTGCCGGGTCTAGTGCCCCTATTAATTAATTCTGGGACATTAGATAGATCAGTTAATCTCTCTAAACATCGATTTCCTCATCCATAAAATGGATGAAGTAGTTATTCATCAGCTACTATGCAGCTATATGAACAGAGCATTCGACCTGGAGCCAGGAATACTTGAGTTCAAATCCAGCCCTGTGGACTAGCTGTATGAAAAAGTCATTTTATTGTTGCCTCAGTTTCTTCAACTGTAAAATGGAAATGATAATAGCACCTACTTCTCAGGGTTGGTGTGAGAATCAAATGAGATAATATTTATAAAATCTTTTGCAAATCTTGAAGTGCTATATAAATACTACTATGTCACAGGATTAGTGTGACAATTAAATAAGATGATTTATGGGATAACACTTTGTAAATCATAATACCCTCCAGAGCTATAAATTGTGGTGATGTTGTTAGATAGATGAAAAGAAAGAAACTGACATAATTTTGTTATTTCTGCTGTTTTCTCCCCCCAGGACTCTGAAGGAGTAGAAATTATGTTAGGAGTTTGTGCAAGTGGTCTTTTGATATATCGAGACAGACTCCGCATTAACAGATTTGCCTGGCCAAAAGTTCTGAAAATTTCTTACAAAAGGAACAATTTTTACATAAAAATCAGACCAGGGGAGGTAAGTAAATACATGTCATAATTTTCACTGGGTAAGTTATTGATATCATGGACAAATTGAATTATATCTTTTCAAAAGCTTTCATTACTGATATGTTTATTATCACTTGCAAGTACCTGGAAGGATTTTTGAAGTTTTTCTGATAATCCAAAATATGTTAAATATTTATTTCATTTGTGTTCTGTTGTGTCCTATTTCTTCTATCTCATAACTTGTTTCTAAGATTTTTCATAGAATCACAGAATCTCGGAGTTTAAAGGGGCCTCTGAAGGTATCTAGTCAACTTCAATCAAAGATTTCTTTTACAAACATATCTGACAAGGATGATCCATTCTTCATTCAAAGACATGTGATGGTGGCAGGCCCATCATGTCCTGAGTCAGTCCATTCCACATCTGTACATCTCTACTATTTGTAATCCGTAAACATTTTTCCTAATTCTGTCATCTAGTGCCAAACAAAGGAAGTCTCTTTCTTTTCCATGTACCATTCAATCAAATACTTGAAGACATCTATCTTCTGATCCTGATATCATCTCAGAAACTTCTGAAAAAGTCTAATTTTTTTTCTAAGTCTCATTGCTAACTCTGATTGCCTTTTCTCAGTCCTCATTCTCATTGTCCTTTATGAAGGTTTTTATACCATCAACCACCTCTTCCTCCTGTATGTTTTCTCTTCCCTTGGCTTCTATGACACTGCTTTCTCCTGGTTCTCCTCTTGTCTGTCTGATCACTTCTCATTCTCTTTCACTGAACCATCATTCACCTCCTGCTCTTTAAACATGTGTCCCTATCCTTTGCCCTCTTTTCTTCTCCTTTTATAGTCAATTTCTCTTGTTGATCTCATCTACTCAATTGAGTTTAATATATTTTTCACAGTTGAACCCAAGATATTTATTCAGCCCGTATCTGTCACCCCTAAATTCTAGCTGCACATCACCAACTACTTGTTAGTAGTAACTTCACCTACGTACGTCATTATGGAAATTGTTATCTCCAGAGGTGGACTTTGAACACACCTTCTTGATTCCTGTAGTTTAGTCTTCTTTGTATGTCATATTCTATCCAGATTGTCCTAACTGCCTTGAATTTGCCACTCTATCTTCGGTCTCTGTGCATTTACACAGTCTTACATGCCTGGAATCTCTTTGTTTTCATTCAGAATTTTTATATTCCTTCAAAATTCAGTTTAGGTGCCATGTCCAAGGCAAAGCATTGCCTATCCTCCCCCCAGCCATCCCAAGTTGTTAGTGCTCACTATGTTGTGAAATTACCTTTTTTATTTATATAATTACCTTATTTATTTATTCATGTACATGTTCTATCCCACTCCCCACCCCCACCAGCGATAATGTAAGCTCCTTGAAGGAATGTGATCAATGCCTTTTTTTGTTTTAGAACCTCCATTGTGTGGCATACTGCTTTGCACATAGTTTTTGCTCAATAAACCATTCCTGAATTGCATTGAATCCAGGATAAAGTCTTTTTTTAAGTCTCCTCACCATCTTAGCCACTTTCTCAGACATGTTGCAGCTTATTTTTCCTAAAATGTTTTTCATTGAAGTGATCAGAAACAGTAGACGCACTATTACTAACATCCAGTGCAGTAGGACCATGATTTTCTTCATTCTGAACAACATAATGTTGATCACGCGGACTAAAATCACTTTCTCCCTCTTATGATGCTGCCCCATTGTTAGTCTACTCCACTAACAGCTCAATCAGAAACTGTTGTCTAGGCATTATTTCCTTCATCCACTATTTGTTTGTTTATTTTTTGATTGTGGGTATGGGATTTTACGTTGAAATGAGAAAACATTTGTAAAGCATTTTTCAAACCTTTAGAGCACTGTATAAATACTAGCTATTATTGTTACTATTGTATTTGATCTTACTAGAAATTACCCATCATTTTAGCCAATCAAAAACTTTTAAAATTACAATTTTGTCAATCATTGTGTTGGTGATTCCTTACAACTTCGTGTTACCTGCTGACTTGGCAAGCATTCCATCTATTCTTTAATCCTAGTAATTAGTTATTTTTAATTGAATAGAATTGGGCCAAGGACATCAATCTCATGACATTCATTAGAAACTCCTTTCTATATTGAGGCTTATTCATTGATCACTATTTGGAATTTCATCAGTCAATTATTTCTAAGTCCACCGAACTAGATAATCATTTTATGCATATGCTAAAACCCAAATATAGTTTGTTTTTGGAATTCTTCTGTTCTAACAAATTAACTAACTATATGTGTAAAGGAAATAAGTAGCCTGGCATGGCTTTATCTTCCTATGTTACAGTGATAAATTGGTAGTGGCTTTTGACCACTACTTCCCTCTATAAGTGCCCACTATCCTTGAATTTCAGTTTCCCATCTTGAGTCCTAATTCTGTACATAAGTGGAAATGCAAGGTTGATTAGTAATTTTCTGCCTTATAAATTACAAATTATAGTATTAAGAAACCCTCAGTTTTCACTTTGTTTGTAATAATTTTTCAGGTAAATATCATGTATCTTTTTTGTACATTTGTGTGAGTCATGTGAAGTCCAGAAAAATTTCATCTGTACTTTGTTCTTTACTTAAAATTTGTTCTTTACTAAAAATTTACTTAAAATTTAAAAAATTCTTTACTTAAAATTACTTAAAATTAAAATTGGATATCTTGTAGCTATTGGGAAGCAATGTGGAAGAATGATATAGGAGCACTAAAGAAGTTCTCTGAATCTTCAGTGATTTGACTGTTCTAACATTCAATTCAACAATTATTAAGTACCTACTTTAACCAAGGCATTGTGCTAAATAAATACTGTTGATACCAAAGTACAAATGGAAAAGCAGATTATTCTCTCAAGGAGTTCGTATTCTTATAAATACACAGACACACACATATAAAACATTTACAATACACACATATATGTTATTTATTTTTAATTTTGAGTACTTTATTACTTAATATAGGAGTTTTTAATGGAAATCCTAAAAATTCTTCTTCAAACTATTTATTCCTAATGGCAGTTCCATTATGGAGGAAATATACCATTCATTTTTAAAAAGCAAAAGAAATAAAAGAATACAAATTTTAAACCATAAAGTTTTATATAGATAAAAACAAAGGTTTTTTTTTTTGGCTATATAAGAGGTTAATTTGAAATTACAGTAAATTTGTATAATAATCATAGCCTAGAGGCTACATCATAGAAATGTATAGTATATACATGTAGATATAAATGAATGATATCTTTGCCTATTGGACAATAGTTTATGCTACCTCCTGTGTATTCCTTATGTGGTAAATGAGAAAAGAGAACACAGTTACACCTGGAACATCAAGCTTTTCTCTCTCAACCATTCCCAGAGACTTGAACCAAATCTTGATAGCCCAAGGAGATTGAAGAGCAGCCCAAACCTGGCTGAATTTGTATGTCTTCTCCTTCATCTGTCACCTTCATTGTTGCCGCATGAACCACTGTGCTAGCAATCCATTTAATCAGAAACAAGTAGACAATCGAGTGGAAAAAAGATAGGGAGATGGGTGATGACACTCAAAAAATTTATTTGGTGAAAAGGTAGTGATGAGGGTTTAGTTTGAAAGATGTGAATGTTTATGATTACTGCCCTCTGGTGGTTTGATTGATAGCATCAGCAGTTCAACAAACATCAAAATGAAACCTAGATGCATGAAGTCTTTTTTTTAATTTCAGTGAAGCATCCAAAGAATATAAGGTCATCCTGAAAACTACCCAAAGTTTTGGACTTTGGGAAAACAACTTGGAACTTAAATACAATGGAGGCCAAAATACTTCACATCTGGCAAGATAATTCATGTTAGATCAAATTGAACCACCAAACCAGCAGGGTATATGTTATTAGGTGAACGATGAAATGGAAGAATTTCACAAAATCCTTAGAATTTTATTCATTAACTAGACAAGTACTAAGAGGGAATTGGGTTATATGCTTTAACTGGATATTCTAAATCTATTGTAAGAAGAGACTATCTAAATTTAGCTCTTGGTCAACAAGCATTCACTAAATGAGTAAGCACTAGGTATACAAAGAAAGGGAGAAACACCTTTTATGCATTTGTGATTTGTATGTAGCAAAATTGAATATTTGCTGAAGGGAGATCCTTAGGTCCTCTAAGTCTGATGTATGGAAGATTATTATAAGGAAGACACATTCCTGTGAAAATTGGCTTTACTTAAAAGCTTAAAATATATGAAGACCACTATAAATTTCGTGTGTTAAATATAATTATATAATTATATACGTATCCGAATGATCTTTGCAAACTATTTTTGAGGCTATTACGTTTACATGTCATAAAAATTATTGTGTAAATTCTTTATTGAAAAATCAATGTTCAGTCAAAAGTTTTTTTTTTTCTTTTCTTCTTCTCATCTAGTTTGAACAATTTGAAAGTACCATTGGGTTTAAGTTGCCAAACCATCGTGCTGCAAAGCGTTTATGGAAAGTATGTGTTGAACACCACACATTTTTCAGGTAAGTAGAGATCTTTTCTTTCTTTTTTTTTAACAGCTGTAGAATAATTCAGCTAATGAAGGCAAATTGTTAGCAATTAATTGTCCTAAGGAAAATTTCTTAGAGGAAGAAATATATTTAAAATTCAGAAGTAAGTGTTTCTTTAACAACTCAAATTAGCGGTTTGCAAAAAATTAGTTTTGGGGCTCATGTACATTTTTATACTGTAGTTTCCAACACTTTCCCAACTTTTCATAGTTTCTACCCTGACCTTTTCCTTGGCCTTATATCTAGAATCCTTGTCTTTCTCTTTTTTATAATATTATAGTATTTTTTTCTCAGAATATTTCTTCCATTCTTTATTTCTTTGAAATTTGCCCATCACTACTCTAGATTTCAATCTCTCTTTCTTACTGTGTAATAAAAAAAGAAATATCTGCCCATAAAAACCAGCACATTAAACCTGACATGTTCTGGTTTGGGAAATAATTGTTTTTGCTCATTAATATCACCTAATTGCTTTTTGTTCTTCAGAGCAATAGCATTTGAATTGAATTGTACTCCTCTTGTCCAATCAATTTTTTTAGCTTAATATTTATATAATAATTTGTTGAAACAGGAGAATCTATAGTATTTCACTTTCCGTGTGTGTGTGTGTGTGTGTGTGTGTGTGTGTGTGTGTGTGTGTGTGAGAGAGAGAGAGAGAGAGAGAGAGAGAGAGAGAGAGAGAGAGAGAGAAATGTTTAATAATTTTCCCCCCTGATGCTTCTTAGGCTGTTGTTACCAGAAGCACCGCCAAAGAAATTCCTTACCTTGGGTTCCAAATTTCGCTATAGTGGTAGAACTCAAGCCCAAACAAGAAGAGCTAGTGCACTGATAGACCGACCGGCACCTTATTTTGAGCGTTCTTCTAGCAAACGGTATACAATGTCCCGCAGCCTGGATGGGGGTAAGAGCCATTGACTATCTCACTTTAGAATTATTATTAGTTATGATGGGCTCAAGAAAGAGTCATAAGCTTTCTATAAACTCAGATTTCCTCATCTTGTGATAAAAGAAATGCTGTTGTATGTGACTGGGTGTAATTTTTAAACTAACAAGTCTACCTGTAGCCTCAATTTATATATTTTTTCCAGTTTCTCTTAGATCAAAATGTAGACAGTGGGTTGTAGAAAATAAAGAATCCTGCCTCTTCATGGTAGCCTAACTGGTTTTAACAGGGATGGAATGGGACTGGACCTGTCATTTCATTGGTAGAGGGAAATTCCCTCTACCAATGCTTATATCTGCACGTGGGTTGCAATTTATAATTTTATAGAGTTGCCTGGGAGAGGTTAAATGGTTTGTCCTGTGTCACACATTCAGTATGTATTAAAGTCATGACTTGAACCCACACCTTCCTGACTCCAAGGCCAGTTCTCTATCTACTCCATACCATCTTGCCTCTTAACTTTTATTGATAATTCAGGAAATTTTTGATTCAAGAGAAAGATATGCTGTAGCACCAAAAAATGGCAGTCATAGAGTATATGAGTAACACAAATCTGTTGCAGGTCAACCCTGTATAAATCTTCTGAGCAGGTTTATTGACAATTCCCGAAAGTAAACAATGTGTTACATGTGTCCTTACTTTGAAGTAATAAATATAATTTAGTTTTTATAATTGACTAATAATGGTAGATAGAAATGATCATACTAGGCTCTGTTGCCTGTTATAGAAACTATATTAAGGGCTTGAAATTAATGTTATTTGTTGTAAATAAAAGAAAGAACTGCTTAATAACCTAACAAACTTAGGGACATTACCTGCTATTGATGATTAAGTTAAATGAATGTATGGTAAAATTGTACTGGTACATGATTGTTTCAGAAATTCTTTTTACAAAATAATATGTTATCAATATTGTAGGTACTTTTCCTACCTCTCAACTCTTTTCCCCTCTACTTCTACCTAACTGCTATGGAAGGGAGATATGTTAGATACATTCCTAGGGGAAAACTCAGAATACATTTCCACATAGAAATATTGTTATCCTTGATAGATAATTCAATACAATTCAGATGTGGTTGTTGATGAAATTGGCTCTCTTGTTATACTCCAAGATATATTAGTTCACCATTGGTAGCATTGTTTCTTTGGGGAAATTTATTCCATATTAGAGTGAATCAACTTACATTTTTACTTTTAAACACAAACCTGTCCCCAAATTGGGACTGCCAATAATTGAATATAGATTAGAATATCCCAATTACTTTTTTAGTTTAATGATAGCCTCTTCTCTCTGCTTACCCTGATATTCTCACTTGGCTTTCTTAATCACAGACTCTGAGTTAGTTCCTTTATATTAAACATCTAAGAAATCTAAGTTATTAAAGTCATATCTTTTGAATTTTTATTTCACTGTTTGATATTTGCGTTGTGTCTTCTTATGAGGACATGTTTGTTTTGAATGTGGTCGTAGTAATGATTTTGGTATGATGTTTGTTGCTGTGAAAGGGAAAAACATTGTCAAAGATATGTGCTAATAACATCCTATCTCTTCCTCTCCCTGCCCAAAAATGATGTTAGTATGTCTTGTCTCTCATGGATTGGGATTGTGCTGATTGCAAGCTGGGAAATGCATGTTGAAGCGTAAATTGCTTTTTTGCTTAGCTGCATTGTATTTAAGATAGCAAGTCCAGAGAAATATCATGGGTTAAAGAAACTTTTTGAAGCCTTTTAAAGGAACTTTTAAGATTTAGGCATGTACTCTGTGAAGAAAAGTGAATGCTTAGTGAAGTGATTTGCCCTTACAAGGATTTTAAGAATCCCTTTCCAACATTTTGCTTTAGTATCCAAAGGTCTTTAAATCCAACACCAATTGCAGTTCATTCTTGTTTGTTTGTTTGTTTAACTATTGTGTATTTAGAGACAAATTTGTTAAGTTTTGACAAATTTTATGACATTCATGTCCTAAAATGATTAGCACTAGTTTCTTGCAATTTAATTGGGTCTTTTTTAATTAAAACATTTTTCACAATATAAAAGGACATTTCTTAAATCTTAGATGCTCTGCATGCATTGCATTTGCATGGCTTCCATTTAGCATCTGTTTGTCATGCTTCCCGAATGTAATACAAATGCCCGTTACCTTTCATTGCCGCCAGGTTACCTTGCAACGGAGATTTCAATGCTTCTCATCTTCATTTGATTAGTTACCCCTTGTTTTTTTCATCTCTGGCTAGATAGTGGTGTTTAATTATAATGATGACTTTAATATATGGTGATCATGTTTCCATGTATCCCAGGGACATTTTTTTTTTAATATAAAGACCATTATTCATATAGCACTTGTTAATGAAAGACATTTCCAAAAATACGACCAAAATTTTTTTTTTCAATCTAACACCAATTCCTGGCCATGGATATTGAAGCAAATGTATCTACTAAAAAGAACAGGCATTGAATGGGCTGAACTGCAGGAGTTGCTGCTTGGTTACTGATTGTCTGTAAATGGACTTAAAGGGGGGGTCACCTCAGGCTTTTCCTCCTGTATTTCCAGTTACTTTTAAACTCTGACATCTTTAGAGCTCTTTCTTTTAAATTATTACTTTCAGCATGGGGATTGGCTAATGTTTGTTTTTTGTGTTAAGCACTTTAAGAATTTGCAAACGTGGGTATACAAAATGTAGAAAAGCTGTGTGTGCCCTTAGGCTTAAGTATTCACTGAGCAAACTTCATTAGCCAGTTTTCCAAGCTTTCTGATGTGCGGGGAAAATTTTCAATAATAATTGTGATATTTTTAACTTGCCTTTTAATATCATGCAGAATTAACTATTTCAGATTTTTTTATATTTGCCTTTAGCATCAGTGAATGAAAACCATGAAATGTACATGAAGGATTCTATGTCTGCTGCAGAGGTTGGTACTGGCCAGTACGCCACGACAAAGGGCATCTCTCAGACCAACTTGATAACAACTGTGACGCCGGAGAAAAAGGCAGAAGAAGAGCGTGATGAGGAAGAAGACAAGAGGAAAAAGGCTGAGGAAGTCACTCCTGTCTCAGCAGTACGGCATGAGGCAAAGGTAGCTTTTCCTAGGCTTCTTCTACAGTTTGCTCACTGTTCTGGGGACTACCAAGCCATTATTAGAGGAAGTAAGCAAAGAATGGGTTAAGTCTTGGGATGACTCATATTTCAACTTTGGTCATATAAATGTCAGCTTCATTCATTCACTTATTTTTATAACTCTTGTTTGCTTCTGAAACAATTCCTTTAAAAAAAAAAACAACTGAGGTTCTGTGTAAGACTTTCAGTAGCTAACCCAGTAATGTCTCTAAAAGTTGATTTTATAATAACCATATAATAATTTGGGGATAATAATTTGCAACTTTAATTCATAATTTAGACTCAGTGGTTGTTTTCCTATATTTGTTTCTGGCCCCATTTTCCTATTCCACTGCTTAGTATATTTTTTTTCTATTAACGAAGGTGCAAAACTGATGTTCCTATGTTTGGGTGTGCTGAGTAGCTATAGTTTGTACATTTATATGCCATCTCTTTCCATGGATCTTATAAATGCCAAATAGTATGATCCTAGTGACAGGCACTCACTTGAGGACCAAACTAAGTATATAGAGAAATTCATCACCAGACGTTGACTGGAAGGTGATGAACAGTTTGGCCACGGCAACCAAAGAAGCATGCAGTCGTCACAGCAGTTAGTGACTGTATTAATTAGGGAAAGCAAAACAAAGAAAAGCTACGGAGAAAGCCAGGTTTGAACCTAGAAACAAACCTCCTACTCATTATTATTATTGTTACTGTTATTACGCTGCTGATTAGTTCTTGCTACTTGTTTACTCTGTAAGTCTTGTCTTTCTGATTATCTGTATTTCAGGCACTGTAAGACAACCTTCCAACAAATTAACTCAAACATTATAAATCTTACTGAAAATTTGGTAAATAATAAGTAAGAGAAAGAGGCAGGGAAGTGGTGCTTCTGAAATGAGTAGAGCTATGAAGCCAACAATGGTAGTTGACATACATTGAAATTATAATCATTGCATTTATGATCAAATAGCATCTGATTATGCCCATTAGTGGAAATATTTTGAAGCTAACTTTAGAATAGCCCCTCAGGATTACATAGAATTGTGGTCTTCGGGATAGGTACTCTTCAAATACAGATGATTAATATAGTGGATATAACATAAGATTCTGTAGACAAATAGCATTTCTGATAATTTTTTACAATAACATCTTTTAGTAGAGTGTCCTTAAATAAAAGCCTAGAATGTTCAAGTGTATTAAATTATATTAAACGTTGATCTCCCCTGTTATTTTTCTGCAGGTTGGTAATAGTTGATTTTCCTAGATGGCATGTTTTCTTGAATTGAGAGAATAAATTAACTAGAATTCAAATGTAGCTATAGCAGAAAATAAGGACATGAATTTTCAGATTATATGTAGTCTTCCTTAAACACATTCATTATAACTTTAAGATAGTTTATTTAATGTTTTATTTCTTCATTTGAGTTGATTTGTAAATAAACCAATAATTTAGTATTTTTTTTTTAAATTTGAGGTAATCTAGCTGAATGACAGTGGATAGTTTTATGCTAATTGTTTTGCTAGCATCATGCCGTTTATGGCAGCTGTACAATTTGAATACAATTAGAAGCATTCTTTTTAGTTGACTTTAAAATAGTCACTTACTTAGAAAGGTTTTAAAAGGAAATACTAATTGTATTAACTAAAGCATGTAGCAATAGGTTTTATCCATTCTTGATACAAACCGTTCCACAAAATCTAGTGTTTTTTAAATGTTTTACTTGAATGAGAACTAATCAGAACTGTGACTGAATGCATCCAAGGGAAATAACAATATTTGTCATAAACATGGCAGATCCATGCTTTTACTCTCTGAGATGTTGACACTGACCCAGTGATTAAAGCACATTTACCCTCTCTTACAGTGCTTCATTTCCAGACGTTCCTTAGCAAGTACTTTGCTCAACACTGAGGCCAAAAAGCATGGCCTGACCAAATTTTACTTGTCCCTTCTATCCCTTGACCTATTGTCTTAGTTATCACTTTTGAAATAATGCTTCAGAGTTGTGTTTTTAGAAATATTTTCACCCCAAATATGAAATGTGTATAAACCATGATTGGTAAATAATTTCTAAAATGCAGGTAGTCTTAAGCCCAATAATGAAGAAGTTGTGCTTTTCTCTGTGGGCCAATGATCACTTGTATGCACTTGGTACTCTAGTACAAGCCAGAAAGGATGATTTTCGTTCAGAACCCTGTTAGTATTAGAAAGTCAGCTTCATACAGACTCATATTTACAAATTTTTTCCATGTATAATGTGATTGTGTTTTCATATAGAGAAATACAGTTTCATGTCTGTTAATATAGCACAGGCCTTAACTATACACGTAAGGCATGATAATATTAATGCATGTTCTGCTTCTTCTCATTTCACCCCTAAAACTGAGTTTTCTCATCTTTAAAATGGCGAAAATGCCTGCACTGCTTTCTTCATTTAATGAAGATGCTTTGTAAAATACTGTACAGTGTATGCTGGGAATACTTCCTTGATGCTAGACCATTAGTCGGTTGTCAGAGGTATTAGTTTAGTCATTATTCTAACTGCCCACAATAGAAAAAAATAAAAGAAGTTCAGATTACCTCACAGTTGCTAGAAAATGCTTCCCTGCCTGACTGACCCAGTTTCCAGGCATCTTGCTTTCCCAGCTCTCCACATTTCCCTGAATTTGACAGGGGTGACCCTGGGGGGAGAACACTGTAAATAGGCCTCACCAATCCAGGATATGCACCTGTTCCTAAGTAGGGCCTCAAAGTCATTACCATACATAGGGTTAGGCTTAAAAATAAATACTAATTCATTCATTACAGTGGCACATAACATGAAATGTGCATCAAAAATGTGTTCCTTTTTATAAAAGTGAGTGGCCTTTCGGGTAACCAGAGGGAAAGGAAGCTGCCTTGGATATAGTCTACTCTGGAAGCCTTTTGGGATAAAGACTCAAATGCCTGAAATAGCCTGCCCCTGCCCTGACCTAGATTTCATTGAAAGGCCACTAAAGTCAGTACATGGTTTTCTCATCCATTATTAGACACCTCCTGTTTTAGGTGCTCAGGAGGGGATTTGAACACAAGTGATAACTATATGCTAAAATAGGTTTATGATAATTATTAGTATACATGAAGTCACTTTCACATTGGAAGCTCTTTGTAAAATTATTATTAATTTGTTTTCAAAGTGAAATTTCCTTTGGTCTATTTCAGTTGTGACAGGTTTTTCGTGGGATTTTTTTTCCTTTATTAATTAGGAACCAGATTCACTAAAGTATTGGCATAAAATGGGACCATACCTCCCAACTGGAGTCTTCAAATTAAGAATGCTAATAATGATAGTACATCAGATTATTCATTGTTTGAAAAAGAAAGCTTTATAGCTAATTTCTTCACGCTCTAAATCTTCCTTTGAGACAGAGAGAAGTAGGTAATGTTTTACAGATGGTAAAACTGAGGCGCAGAGAGGTTATATTTTGCTCAAATTCCCACCATGGTGGAACTAATGCTAGAGCCCGGGTTTCATTATTCTAAGAAGAGAAAGGAATAAAATGTTTGTAGCGCTTACTATGTGCCACACACTGAGCTAAAGTGCTTATTTTACAAATATTCCCTCTTTTGATAGTCACAACAACCCTGTGAGGTATGGAGCTATTATTATCTCTATGTTACATTTGAGGAAACTGAGGCAAACAAAGGTTATGTGATTTGCCCAGGGTCATACAGCTAGTATGTTTCTAAGGCCAGATTTGAACTCTGGTTTTCCTGGCTCCTAGCCCAGCACTCTATCCCCTGAGTCACCAGCTACTTCTGAGCAAAACATTGTTTGTTCCACTAAATATAATGAGATTTAGATAAATGATATGGTGGGGGTGTTTTTGTGTTGAACAACAATGTGAACAGCCAGTGTCATAATGAAATGTGATGTGGCTGTCTGACACATGGCGGTGAAGTTGAGTCTTACCTTTCTTTGGACACTCTGGACCAATCTAAAGATAAGAGATCATCCATAGAAATGCCTGTTCTTACTATGTTAATAAAGACTAGAGAAATATATGGTGGTTCTTACTCTCTTTTTATATCCTAATCTTTCCTAGTTAATTTCTTAAAAACCACTTGGTGTTTTTATTTTAAATTATATTCATAGGGACCAAAAAATTAAAAGAAATCTTGTTTTTTTGTGAGTGGTTTAAAAAAGTCTGATTTGGGATGTTATTAGCTAACAACTGGGTAGAAATTCATTTATATGTGTTTCAGATTACTCTTTGATATAGTGGCCCAAGTCATAGTAGCCTTTTGAAAAGGAATGAGGCCAGAAATTTAAATTTTAGCAGCTCACTTGATTTCAAACTCAGTGGAAATAAAAGGATGGTGAAAATTTTGTACCAGGTCAGGATTTATTTTGAGTTTTTCCACCAGATGAAATATCAGTAACATTTCTTTTAGCCAGAGATCAGGGGAAGGTTCTTGAAAGTCTTGAAAATAAAGGTATCTCAAGTAGTCAAGTGCATTTATTTCTGTTGTCAAACCCCAAAAGCTTTGTAATTATTTTATTGTGTCACAGTGAAAATACTTTTAAAATCTGTTTTAGCAGAAATTATACAGCCATTTGAATTCCATAAAATCTAGAATTGAACATGCACAGACCCCCATGTTGTAGCTTTTAAAAATGTATTTGTATATGTATATACTTATATATAACTTCATAGGCAGGCTAACAAATAACTTGTTTGTATGTTTTTTAAAAATTTATAGCCATTAACCATTCATGACAGTTTTGGCATGCAGCTTGAATATTTTTTTTAATTCTGTGAACAACCCTAGTGCTAAAATTCTGGTTTTATAATTTTATACTTACTCCTAGAAGAAAATGAACTAATTACTATTTTCTTTTTGTCCTTTTTGCACCTTTTTTTGCTGCTTTCTCCTTCTCTCTATTTTTCTCTCTTTCTCTCATCAGTCACCTTGGCTTGGCAACAGTTCATTTTCCGCCTCACCATCCTCATACAATGGCCCCACTGCATCTCCAGCAACACTCCGTAGGAGATGTAAGGAGAATGTACAAAAAGCGTTAGGTTGTGAGCCAGCCAAAGACACTGGGCAGACTCGTGGTGAGCCTGACTTGGATTCTAATGGGAAAGGGAAAGCTTGCGCAGGGGATCAAGATCTGGCCTTTAGCTGCAAACAACAAACTTGCAAAGGCGCAACACTGTTTTCCTTCTCCTTGCAACTCCCGGAGTCATTTCCTTCTCTTCTAGACGATGATGGGTACCTCTCTTTCCCCAACCTTTCTGAAACCAACTTCCTCCCTGCGAACTTGCAGCATTACCTTCCGATTCGTTCCCCATCGCTTGTGCCCTGTTTCCTCTTCATCTTTTTCTTTCTACTGTCCGCTTCTTTCTCAGTGCCGTATGCCCTCACTCTTTCCTTCCCTCTGGCTATGTGCCTCTGCTACCTGGAGCCCAAGGCAGCCTCCTTGAGCGCCTCACTAGACAATGACCCGAGTGACAGTTCAGAGGAAGAGGTGTGTACCTCGGCATAGAACACACTTCCTTTTTGTGTTCAGTGCTTCAGTCCGAAATAATGTGAGACGGCTGCTTCGATAGTGGTCCTACTTTCAGAGCCTCATTTATTGTCTGTGCCAATATGTTAAGAGGTTTTGTGTGTTTGAGAGTATAACATGGTCCCCCGGGGTTAGGCACAACACCTTGTGTTTTGTCATAGTCTGGGTCCAACTTGGGAGATCTCTCACCTCTCCAATGCATTGTGCACCTGGCGACATAAATACTGAATCAAACCTGAAATCCCTTTTAAAGTCCTTATTTAGTTATAAACAATAGGAAAAACTACCAAAGAAGATACATTACATATAAAATAAGTATGAGATAAAAAAAATAAGAATGAAGACATTTATGTTGATGCCATGAAAAATATTCCGATTTGCTGTTAGAGAGAGTAATGACTGAGGTAGTTAAGATTTTGATCGTACTAGAGCAGCGTCAGGCCAGTAAGTAAAGAGAAGAACTGTATGTTGTCAGTTGCAGACATGCTTCATCAGGAGACATGTGATGGACCACTTGAAGCTAAAATCTTCAAATCATTTGCCTGTGGATTCGCAAGACCAGCCCCATGTATTTTGTGTCAGGGACATAGAACAGGCAAGCTTTTCAACTGAGGATGAAGTCGGGTTCCATATATCCAAAAACACACTAAAAATGTCAGGGGATTCTAGTAGTCCACCACAGAACAGTCAACCGGTGGAGTCCTGGTAGGTGAGTTCTGAAACTTCCGGAAATGAACTTCTCTAGAACAACCATTCCAAGATTTTGATTCTGAATACTTCCTTGTAATATGAGTATGCTAGTAAGTGAAGTAGAAGATAAATTCACTGTACTGCCAACAGATTACCCTTTGCCTGGCATTCTTTATACTTCCATAGAAACGTGATCACCTCAGTAAATTTCATTCTGAGAAAGAGAGAACAGAATCTGCTAAGCATAGTCATCAGGGTGTCATTTTTTTTTCTGCCTCAATTTCTTCCGAGGCACCAGCTTTCACATAAACATGAAGCATTTTATTGTGACAGATAGTGCAAATATTCCTGAAAAGTATAAAACACAATACATATATACATGTATTATCTTAAATAATAAGGTATATTCTCTTGGATATGTACGTGTGTGTATATATGTGTATGTATATATATGTATATATCATAGAGATGTGTGTGTACCATATATCTTTAAGATAAAATACAAAATCAAGGTAACACAGGAAGAGGAAAGAATGTCTTATCAGTTTTATTTAAAATACATTGATTTAGGTTTCACCTGGGAGCATACAGGAATTAAAGGTGTAATGCATGGACCAATATTAAGATATGGTCTGAACCTTTCTTTGCAGACAGACAGTATAAAGTGTTCATGATTTGGCAGAGATTTGGGGGGTGGGGGTAGAGGGAGAAAGAGTTTAACTTGCTAAATATGAAAGGCTACACTATATCCGAGCCACATAATAGAAGCTAATTCTAGGATGTCTGTAGATCAAAAATTAACAAACTGTATAAGTTAGGCCATTAGCTATAAAGAGCCTTTGTTACTTAAACACAGTAAGCCCTTTAAGGGTTACCTTAAATCTGTGGCCATGCTACCATTAGTTTCAACAGTAACAGTAACGTTTAATAAGAGTCTAGGAATAGATCAAATATGTGCTTATGTTGATCTGCTAATTTAAAACTTAAATTTATGTCAGTTCTGGAAATGATCTTTTCCCACTTAACACTTGAATTGATGACTCAGAGTATTAACATTAGCATTGGTATATAAGTTTTGCAGCTTTGTGCAAAATATTGTACTTTTATGTAGGAAACTACAGAGATCTTGTGCCTAATCCAGGGTATACATCTTGTTGTAAACAATGCATGAAAATTAATGTTAAACTTGGGCATGTCTGCATTACATTGGCAAAACAAATCACAGCAGGTAATTGTTGCAAATAAGAGGAAATGGGACTGAAGCTTGCTAGCACATAGCTATCTTTGTATTTGAAATACTCAAAACCTACAAATTAAAACAAGCAACTGAAGAGTTTACTTAGCCCTTTACTCTTGGTAAAACCCTACCTGCATGAGGAACCCTCCACACATTCCCCAAATTTGTATTTGGTCATTTATTTGAAATTGCCACTTAGTTCCTGAATGTAGTTCTGGTTATTAGCTGGGTCATCTATTTGAAATTTATTCTACTCCTCTGGCAAAAATAACCAGCATTATGCAATCCACCTACATTATCCATAATGTTTTCTAGATTCCACAAAACTGTAATCAATCATTCCTCACCAGAGGCAGCTACATTAGGTGACTTCTTAGGGTCCTTTTCAGCTCCTTAATTTTCTTATTCTTTGTAATTAGCTAATGTCCATTATGATGATGCCTTAAAATTGTAACATCATTGCTCACATTTTAAAGTGATAATGGTATTCAACAACACATTGTAAAAGTAGAAATTTTCTCTATATTGAAACTCAGGTTTCTTTTCATCCTGATCCATACCTTTCCATGTGTCCAGAGTGCATTTAAAAATAATTATTAACTGATGAGTTTCTCTTTGGTAGTTTCAGAAAACTCAGGAAAAAAAGGGGGGAAGGGACAAATTTTGGAGAATTGAGTTAATCAGGAAGACATCAGGCTTAGATAAGCGGGGCCATGTCCAGTCCTGATCTATATCTTGCCACTGGACCTAAATGGCTCTGGAGGAGAAAATGAGGCTGGTGACTTTGCACAACCCTCCCTCACTTAAATCCAATTCACTTGCAAGTCATGGCATCACCTCCCTGATGTCATGGTCTTCTTCAAGAATAAAGGACAAACAACAGCAGGCTTAGATCACATCTCAGTACACAAGGAGGAGGAATTTGCCTCACTACTGTATGGAACTTGGCCCCTTGAGATTCTTCAGTACAATTTGTATTGCTGTAATACACTAAGTACACAAAATGCTAATAAATCAATTGTTTGGTTTAATAAATTATACTTTAAAATGTACAGACCTTGTGTTTTATCATGAAAGATCATGCAGCACTCTATCTTACCCTAGTTGACAGATAAAACCTACAAATGGAATAAAATTTCATTAATTTGGGTTCCATTGATTTGGAATTTGTGAGAGTTTGGACAGCTTAGAGTTTTGATCTCTGCGCTATCTATGAAAAATTAATTTGCTAAACAAATTCATAATGTGAACACATTTTTAAGGTAAATACTCATTACCTTCTTAAGAGAAGAAACTTTTTCTTGAAATTTAGTAGTAAACACTTGAAGTAGTTTATATACTAATTTTGAATCATTTTTATCTATTCATGAAACCTTAAACTCCTTTCAAAATGTGCCATTTTTACTACCTAAAAAGACTGTAGAATTCAGTGTAATACAGTAATGCCTACAGCTTGTCATCTTCATGAGGAAGTAATCTATCTAAATTGTGCTGTTTAAAATATTGGCACTAGAATTGATGTTAAGCCAGTCTAGAACTTGCCAATAAGCCTAAGAGTGCATCTCCGTCAATCTAGGTCCAGTCTAGACTACAGAATGCTGTGCTTTGTTTTTATTGTATCTACTAGATGTTATTTTTCTGCTATATTTGTGCAGTATTTATCAGAATGCCATGTTTAAGAATATAGTTCAATATACTTTATATTTTGGAAAAAAGTAGAAGCATATATACATATTTAATCGGGAAAACATTCAATAGCAACTTTCTTTGTCAGGTGAATGACATTTTTGCACGAATGCTATGTATGCTATTGAGTTACTTTGATCTGCCTGTAGGAACTAATTGGTAATGCAGACAGCCTAATGGTTCATAAACAATGTAAATAATCAAATCTGTATAAATGAGGGGCTGAAAGTCAGGTGACTGTTATAGTAGCTTTTTTTTTTATATTTTATAATAAATTTCACCTCTCAACTCCAAGTAAGCTTAACATGAAAAGCAACTTTTAATACATTAAACAGAAATATTTAATAGATTTATCAAGGGTTTAGTTGAAGAAAAAATGGGAGGGAAAAGGGCAACAAACCTACTTTCCCCAAGAAAAAAACCCATTAGACTCTTTTTTTCCAGACAGTTCAGATTGGCTAAAATAATCACTACAATAAAGCATCATGCTATGTCTATCTTGTGTCTTCCTCTGAGTCTGTTCTGTTGACCAAACCCAAACCTAGTTATGGTTTTTCTTTTACTCTTGCTTAAAGCTGCATACTATTGGGAAGGTATAGTGTGTTGCAGGTCCCGGTCATAGAGATGGACCTATGTGAGCTGTGACCTGCCCTGTTTGACAGAACGTGTTTATTTTCTATTCCTGCCTACCTTCCGGACCTTGATTACTTGTGTAATCAATAGACTGACAGTGAACAGACGGACACTGCAGCTGATGGTGAAACCACTGCCACTGAGGTTGGTATAGTAACTGCAAGCACACATGGTGTACGGCTGTCAGCCAAAGCAGTGTAACACATAATATAACTCTGCCTCTAATGAATGCTTTGGACATCATGCTTATTTTACATGACTTTGCCGGTAAATGAAATGAATTTTCACCTGAATCAGGGAACTTCAGTAAGATTTGAAAATTATTATTAGCCAAATATAAAAATCATAAAAATTTTGTATATGATAGCTAATAAAAAGAGCAGTCATGGTAGTGTCCTTAGTGACCATTTTCCCCCTTCACCCAATTTTTGCCATTAAAGAACTCTCTCTCTCTCTCTCTCTCACTCTCTCTCTCTCTCTCTCTCTCTCTCTGCATATATATATATATATATATATATATATATATATATATATATATGATGCTTCCTTTCTTTCCTTTTTCAAATCATGAAATCTAATTTTTAAAAAATGAGCCCATACCAAAGTCATTTGCTTACAAGGGGGGAAAAAGTATATTCGAGCAGTATATGGAAATTGACAATTTATGCTAAGAATTTTACTGCCTGTAAATCCAGGTCAGTAGTTCTTTCTTTTTGTCACTCAGCATATGTTTTGGAATAAAGCTCTTAAAAAAAATAAACCTGAACAGCCCATATACATTATTCATGTTTTATTTACCTGTTAGAATATGGCAATCAAAGAGAACAAACTTTCTCTTCCAAAATTAATTTTTTTAATGGAAAGTGATGGTATTATACTCTCATAATGGAAGAGTTCCTTTTCTAGTAACTTATTAAAACTTTCCTTCAATGTGACAGATTTGTTTTTTACTCATGCATGCTTTGTCAAGAAGTAATTAGATGTCTATATATGTAAGTAAATTGAATGATCTATTTTTAAAAAATTTCACTGGTACATTTGTATGATCTGTTCATCTTTAGAGGAATCTGGAACTATTCTAAATAATACCTGGAAGTCACTGTTGATAATGTGGTGAACCAGCTCAAGATGTGATTTTAGTTGTCTGCCTTAGAAATAACACAGATTATAGAAGGGCAATTCTGGAGAGTAGAGAAAGAGATTTACTGGTCATGACCATGAAAAAATCATTTAACCACTCAGAGCCTCTTTTCCTTATCTGTAAAAAGAGTATTAGTATACCACCTACCACAGAGTATGGTTGTGAGGAAAGAAACCTGTAAACCTTAAAGCATCATATAAATGTGAGTAGTTGTTGAGAAACAAAGAAACATTCAGATGTAAAACTTGAATATTTCAAAATTATTGAGTTAAGATTAAAATTAGAAATAATAAAATAAAATCTGGCATACAGATTAGGGAAGCTTCTATATGATTTTTAGAATTTTTAAAAAATTATCAAATGTAATAGGAATACTATAATAGTATTTCTTGGTTAATGTATCCCAAATTTTATGTACACTTACATCTACATACACATGTATGTATATGCATGTGTGTGTATACAGCCTGTATTCATGGTGCTTTTAGCTTTAATTTAATCTGCATTGTAGTCACCTTAAGGTTAGGCTGCTTCATTTCTGTCTTTATATCTCCAGGGTCTGGCACATGGAGGTGCTTAATAAATGCTTGTTGATTGATTTATCATCATAAATATTGATATATAAATAACTCTCTAAGGTTTACAAAGTACTTTACATATATCATCTTATTTTATCTTCCCTAAATCGCTAAGTGATAGGTAATATGGATATTATTATCCCCATTTTACAGACAACATTTGCATAAACTTTTGAATCATGTGGGTTGGGTGGTGTGGGGATTATAGTCTGTTATTGATAAGGAAACTCAGATGCAGGGAAGTTAAATGATGTATCTGAGGACATACAAATGAATGCTGTCCTTTTTCTGACCCCCTTTCAACTTGTGATCTGCCACCAATTCAATATTCTCTCATTGTATATAAATGTATGTAATCATACTTGTAACTTTCATTGCCTATCTTACTTTTGTGTAATTTATACTAGGGTTTCATCATATAAATCAATGTGCTGAGTTCTTTCGAATTTTAAACCTATTCTCCACAGTACTGACTTTCTAGGGTGATGTGATTCTTCCTAAACTTCTTGGGGTGATGTGATCCTTGAATGTAAACCTGGTTGAACTCTGCTGTCATTTCATTAGTGATACTTGAAATGATAGTGAGCCAGAACCTACAGAAGCCATTGGGTGTGCTTCCAAGATTCATCCTGAACTCTTGTGGGATACAACTTTTCAGGTCCTTGCTCTTAGCCTTAACTGTACACGTAGCTGTTTATCACACTTGGAAATCAAGATACTGATGTTTCAAAAGCATGCTTAGAAGAGATGGAAGCCATCGTTCTGTCTTTCCTATTCCCTCTCTTAATGCATGTGTGTGTGTGAGTCTCGTATGATGTGAAGTCTACAGTAGGGCTACGGAGCAGGAATGTGCAGCTCATCTGTTTCAGTCTTGGAATGATTTGTCTTGGTAAGACTTTATTTTCCACTTTTTCTTGATGCTGACAGTCGGATCAGGAGGAAGATGCAGACCTCAAGGCACAGGTAGAAATGAAAAAGCGAATGTGTACTCTAAGATGCGGTGCTCAAATCTCTCAGCATGCCATGCAGTTAGTTAGTCTGTTATTGATGCAGTATGTAGGATGATGGCATTTGTTCCCTTTGACTACCATGTCCCTTACCTTTCCCTTTCTTCTCCACTTTTTTCAGAATAGTCTGATTAAGCGAATAAAGGGTGAAAATGTGTATATCAAACATAGTAATCTAATGTTAGAGGTTGGTATTGGTATATACCAGTGCATGTATGTGTGTGGTGATTCTCAGTGATCGACCTGTGGACTTTCACTTTGGTGCATGAAATGTGTTTTTCCACCTGCTAATAAATTGGGTATACCTCTCCAGCTTCCTGTGACCTTCTTTATCCTGTATTAGAGATAGATGCCTTCTTTTTTTTTTTACATGTGTGTGCATATGTTTGAATTCTCTTTGATTATTTGCAATCTAGTTTTTCACAATCTACCTTTTAGATATTTTGATTTTTATTTCATCTGAAGTAGATTTCTTCTGTCATTGCCTTTTAAAAATACCACATTTTCACCAGTGTGTGTGGCAGTGTCATGAAACCTGATGCCTAAGCGCGCTACTTGAAAATTATTCTATACTAACCGGATTGTCATTTGAATGTGTATTTTTATTAAAACAGGCAGGCAAAAAGAGAGAATCAGGTGTAATGCTTTGGGTTTTGGTTTCTCTTTTTTTACTTTTTGCGTATAGGAGTTAGATAAAAATCAGGAAGAACTGATGAAACATCAGACCAACATTAGTGAGCTGAAAAGAACCTTTTTAGAGACCTCCACAGAAACTGCTGTGACTAATGAATGGGAAAAGAGACTTTCCACATCTCCAGTGCGGCTCGCCATGAGACAGGAGGATGCCCCAATGATTGAACCCCTTGTGCCTGAAGAGGTCAGTGATTCCTCTTCATGTTGGAAGTGTCATCCTTTCATGCCTCCTTTGCTCCCACTTATTTGTTCTTCTGCAATGTGGAAAGAGATTTACAGGCTGATTCAGCTGATTTCACCTGCTGACTGTTGCATGAATTGAAAACAGCCTCACAAAAGGCTTTTTAACATGTGATGCTTCCAGAGGATTAGCTAGCTCATTAATTCATATTTTGCTTTGGGACCAGATAGTATGTGGAGGGCAGAATTACAAAATGAAAGATAGTGTGTATTAAAAATTAGGCATAATAAAAGCTGGATGGACTATAAACTACCAAAGATAAGGATGGACTTGAAGAAACCCTTTAATTAAATTAAAAGGAGAAATTAACTAAAAGGAGAAATCCAGAAAAATTACAGTGTGATGTGATATCCTAGTTTTCTTTCAGCATTTTTTTTTTTTTTGGCTTCTTTTCGCTAAGGAAGTCTCTCAAACTCTTGAGTCTTTTTCTTGAGTTGTTTCAGGGACAGGCGATGTGAGGCAAAATAAGAGAAAACCAGTAGAAGGATCAGGTGACTTTCTATGAGATCATTAGGTCGTAGTCTTAGAGCCGAAAGAGACCTCAGAAGCCATCTAATCCAGCCACCTCATTTTCTAGATAAGGAAACTGAGGTCCATAGGAGTTGCTGTTTGCTGAAAGTCATCTAAGTATTAAGCATCAGAGGCAGGATTTGAACCAGGGTCCTTTCACTTGAGAAACAATATTCTTTCTATTGGGCTTCTCTGCCTTCCTTAGAGCCTTGATCTGGGATGCTGAAAAAGCTAAGTGATCTGCAGTTAATTGTTCTCCAGGCAGTGTTCTATTGCAGACATATATTTCAGATTTGTGCTGGGAAATCAGTGCAAAATCAACAAAAAAATTAATCTTTCATCTCACAGGCCCCTCAGAGCACATAGGAAGGATTTTGGAATCCTTGCACAAATAATAACTTGCTTCTGCGTAGAAGCTGAACATGCAATAAGTTGTTCCTTTCTCTATTTAGTCTCTTCTTACTCTTCCTGTATCTCTAAAAGAAAAGTTTTTACATTGATTTAATTTGTTTCTGATAATGACTGCTTTACTGTGAAGCAGGGCTCAGCTACAAGAAACAGAAAAGATCAGGAAAACTCTTAAGTTGTTTAAAATCATCTTCTAAAGAGTTTTTAACATGTAGTATATTGATCCTTCCTATCAAGTTGAGTAAAGAATATTTGTAGTTCAGTAGCTTCTCAGTTGGGGCAGCTAGGTGGTATAATGGTTAGAGCTCTGGGCCTGGAGTCAGGAAAACTCCTCTTTTGGAGTTCAAATCTGGCCTCAGAGACTTACTAGCTGTGTGACCCAGGGCGAGTCACTTAATCCTCTTTGCCTCAGTTTCCTTATCTGGAAAATGAGCTAGAGAAGAAAATGGCAAATCACTCCAATATCTTACCCAAGAACACTCTAAATGGGGGACATGACTGAAAAACTACAATCCCAGATTCTCAATTTCTGTATGTGTCGTCTTGGTTTAATAAGAGTGGCTCCAGTACCCAATATCCCTCCATGTAAAAGTTTTTATTCTTTCTGAAAAGTTAGAAACTTTGTCACTACTGCTCTTAATCTAAAAGGTCAATTATATATTCATGTTACAGAGAGTAAGCACACTGTAAACCTAGAGATGCTATAGAAATATGAGTTACCATTGTAGGCATATCAAAGCACCTGCCTTACTATATATAATCATTCTATTTTTTAAAAAAACCACTTAAGCCTCAAATAAGATTTTAAAAAATTAACCTTCTTTTAAATTAATGTACTTTTGAATACAACTGGAATTGCATTATCAAGGTCATCACACATGTCAAACATAATCAAAGCTTTCAGGCTCCTAAGGTCTTACCACTGCCCCACAGTTACTGTTCTTTTAATATATTTTTTGTTCAACATAATGTGAGAGCTGGAGATTTCTTGGAAGAGCCAGTATTAAATTACCAAGAGCAGTAAGAGGTTCTATGCTTGCTGATCTTTAAGCTCAAGGAGTATATCCTTGTGTTTCAGAGAGCTTAGGCTAGAATTAGGGGATTGAGTGGAAAGACTTTTGAAGTTCCTTCTATTCCTTTTCTAATTAATTATTCTTTTTAAAAAAGCATGTGAAGGGCTATAATAGGCAGAAATTTTCTGAGCCTACAAAGAAGAGGATGAGAGAAAAATGGGTTTAAATTTTGATAGGTGCTTGAATATTCTAAAGAAGAGTTTCTAGACTGTAGTAATCCCACAGTACAAGAACAGGTTCTCAGGGGTGATTGTGGAATCTCCTGTCTGGATCTTGGAGAATTTCAAAGTTTGATCTCCTCTAATGATAAGAAATCAGAATGAACTCTTTAGGATTCTCCAATTATACAATTCTGTCAGGATGACATAATGACAGTCAACTCTAGACCTAATGTTAGGATTTGACCCAACTGATAGTATCATAAACAAATTAAAAGTTCATGTGTTAAAAATTCTTACCCATTCTCAACATAAAACTGCCTTTTATATATCTTGCTCTTTGTATTTTAAAGAGCATGAGATAATTCTGTACTTTGAAATATCAGAAAATAAAACACATTGGTCTACCAGTTAATATCTAAACAGTTTGTTTTTATGACAAAGCACGTTCAAATTGGGAATCAGGAGCATTAAACCTCATATCATACGGATTAATTTTGCTTACTTGTAAATTATAAAAGAAAATCCCCTATTTAACTTTTAGATGATGGGATTTCTTTCCCCTTCCACGCCATTCTAAAAAACACCAGCCAACAGAATGCCAACAAAATGCTAACAGATCTTGGGCTCAAGGACTGATTATGTCTCTTTGTCTGTTCCCTTTGTTACAATCTCTGATAAGATGGCATTTCATAAGAACTGAAGAAAGGCTGCAAATTTTTAGTGTGACTTTTCTTTTTTGCTTTATCTATTTGAACTGAATCTTAATGAACCCCAATTGTTTTACTAAACACTACTGATTTATGAACAATTGAAAAGAGAAAAGGAAATTGAAATAAATATCTGTTTAAATAAATGAGCTAATAGGAATCAGTCCATTTTGCTAACATTTAACATTTGCATTTACTTGCTAATTTCATTCATTTAAATTTTATAAAACTTAGTTTTATTTTGCCAGCAGTATATCATGTAGTCAAGTTGTAAATATCTTTACTGATAGCAGAAAGGCAGCATGGATAATAAAAGATAATCAGTAACATAGAAATATATTTGTTTTAGAATAAAGTTAAATATACATACACAAAGAGGGCCGGCCTTGTGAATAGGTAGAGTGATACCTATCACCTGTATATGGCATGATTTGAATACATTCTCAGCACAGGGACCTCTACCCAAAAATAGCTCTCCTGCCACTTTTCACAATGTGTAAAATTTCATTAAAGATGTATTCCTTTTAGACTTCTTAAAATGGCAAGTCCCCTTAGAGAGTAATATACCCTAACCTATTATTAGATTAAACTTTCATGGGGAGTACTTTCAAATTTGAAGTCTAGCCAAGAAAGCAAACCTCTTTGTAACAAAATTCAGAATAGTCACCAGGTTAGGAAGAAGGACAGAATAGGGCAAAGAAGAGTGTTGAAAGAGGAGGTTGTGAAATAAAAACAGAAGGATTTGGGATAGAAGTACTTTCCATTTTTCCTAGGGCTGGCTCTGTATATATATCAATCAATCCTCTGGTATTTATTAAATGCCTTCTCTGTGCCAGGAACTGTGCTAGGCACTTGGGGATACAAACATCAAAAAAAAATTAAACAAAAAAAATTACTCTCAAGGAATTTATGTGGTCATTTATGCCATTATATTTAGTTGGAGAGGCCTTGCCTCTCAGCCTTCTTTGGCTTGCCCATAACAGCAGATTTAGCTAGAATCTTCTCATGACAGGGTAGACTTAACATAGTTCTTTTGTTCCATTCTTGGATAATACAAAGTTGATTGTGTTGTTCTGTCATGTGTCTCTGAATTTCTGTCTCGTTTATAAATGAGGACCTGGTCTTTTACAGACAGCCCTTAATCAGAGGGAGCAGGTGTGTCAGTTCACAAGAGCAACTTGCTCCTTAGAAGTATTCTTAAATTCCAGTTCTTCTATTAATCATCTATGAATAGATTACTGAATAATGACTTCCAAATTACTGAGCCGGTTCTTAAACCACTGAAAATAAGCCTGAAGGTATGAAGGGGTTTGATGTAATTGAATAGGAATACACATATGAGTAACTGACAAGATTGAAATGTGTGCCTGACAAAATCAAATGTCCTCCTCAGTGAAGCCTTTCCTGATCCCCCTTCCACTCCCAATCACACATGCTACCCATTTGTAATGATTTTTTAATCTCTTGTATCTCCCGTAGAGCTTTCTTTGCACATCTCTGGCATACTTTTTGCTCTATAATTGTGTGTGCATGTATCATAAATTGCAGCAAGATCTGTGACTTTTCATAAGGGTAGGCATTACACCTTATCTAAATTTTTTAACTCTCCTACTACCTGGCAGAATGCTCTGCACACAGGTGTTTAATAAATGTTTGTTGAATTAAATTGACTATACTCAGAAGCCAAAATAAATGTTTGAGCTCATCTGCTTTATTTAAAAAAAAACAAAACCAAAAAACAAGAAAAACTGTCTGCATCTCTTCTACTCCCATTATCTTGGGTAGTTAATTTGATTATATTCAGAGTTCACATTTTAAAATCTAGACCATTTCCCCCCAACATACTACCTTTACATATATGTGTATGTATATATGTATACATATACACACATATAAAAACATATACATTTAGAATCATGAGTGGTCTATGCTGACATTACCTGATGGTAAATACCGGGATTTCCTGAGGACCATGCTTACCTTCATTTTTAGCCTTCATAGTCACTTCAGTGAGTGGAAAATGATGCTTTTAACACTCCCTTTCATTGTCTACCAGCATAATTCTGAAAAAAAAAAAGTATTTAATTTTGACCTCTCCTCACTGTTTTATAATTTGTGTTAAATAAAGAGACATTGATTGAAGAGATAATGAAACCCATATTAAATGTGGTTGCTTTTCATCCTTTTTAACATAAAATAATTCCGAAATAGAAAGACCAGAAATCTTAGAAAATGTAATTATAAACTAGTTCATAAGATATTTTATCCCTTTTCTAAGATTACTATGTTTAAGCAATTACTGTTTGCTAGTCTTTGAATTAGCATAAAACACAATTTTCACTATATCATTAAAAGACCAAATAAGCTTTTAAATCTTTGTGGGAAAGTAAAGATAGGAAGATATACATACATACATACATATATACATATATATATATATATATATATATAATATGAGGAAATTAATGCTTATTAATTTTTTAGAAAATATTCCTCTGCTTTTGGGCATTTTTCTGTGCTAATTTAGTGACTTTTCTGGTAACTACTTTTTGTAAAATTAATATTCAAATGCTATTTAAAGTGGCAGATAGCTGGTTGCACATTCATAAAAGTAGAAATGGGTGAGGAGAAAAGGCTTGAAGGTAAAAAGTCTATGTATTGACTGTTGATCAAAGGAACAGGAACAAAACTATTTACTTGGATATTATCATAAAATTTCTTTTTATTTTCTCCTTCGTTCTTCTTCAGATCAATTAGCACAATAAATAATCTGCTTCTGCTGGAAAAATGCATGAATACTAGATAAGCATTTATATTGCAAAATATAAGAATTCTCTTCCTAACTTTCCTTTTTTGGAAATTGTCTACTTCCCCCTCTCCAACCCAACCCCCTTTATTCAAACAGACCAAAGAAGAAAGAGAAATATCTGAAAAAATTATATTTTTGCAGCAGGGAAGTTCTTCATTCCTTGAGTCTCAGGTAAAAAACAAACATACAGGAATTTTCAAGATGGAATTGCTTTGGCACACATAAGTTTCATTAGAACTAGTCTTTAGTTTTCATTTTCCTTGCAGCAGTTACCATATTTTAAATTGAAGGTGGGTGTGCTATTTTCTGATTGGATCCTGGGGGAGGGGAGTTAGGGTAGCCTCTAACTATTGCTTTCAGCAGATGCTAGTCTTTTCTTTCTTGATGCCTTCTGTCCTCAGGTGAGTATATGTGTTTTTGATATACCAAGCATGTATTTTTGCAATCACTATCACTTTGAAACCTTTACCTTTTCCTATGACTGATGTATATTTCCTTTATGGGATTCCATTAATTCAGATGATCTTGATTGATAATGACAGTTCTGAATTTTTATTGGTTTTTCCATTAGCCAAAGGAATTAAAGAAGCTGCAGGAAAGAGATTCAGCTGGCACTATGGTTTCTTCTCATCAGATCATTTTGCAGAAAACTGCCCCATCAACCCTAGAGGTTATTTTTCAATTCTTTAAACTGTTACCAACATATAGATAAAGATGATTCATATGCATATACATACATACATACATACATACATACACACACATTTATATTTTGATCGAATGCCTGGGCTCAGGCTTTGGCCTATGGTAAATGTGAAATTAGATGCCTTATTAATAACATACTATTAATAGCATATAAAGTTATTTAGCTGTCTCCTCACATCCTGTCAGTCCTCTGCTTTCACAGAGAGATTTATTGTAGAGAAGTTTGGCTTCTTCATAAAGTTGAGGAGAATAGATGAAAAATGAGCAGTACACCATTTATTAACCAAAAATGGGGGAAAATTGAAAGTCATACTGTCACTATTTATAAGAGATTTCAACCATGTTCAAAACAGAAAATATTTAATTATAGAACATCTCTGAGATCAAACTTGATTCCACAGAGGCAGAGAGATGTAACTAAGGATATGACATCTTTTTCTCCAAACTTTGTGGGATTTTGGCAATTATTTCAAAGAGGCAAAAAAGAAAGCATTGAAACATTTTCTAGCCTATTTTTGAACTGAAAAGACATCCTTTGATTTTCTCATGCTACTCTAAAAAGCACATATAAAAAGCATGTCTGCCTTTAGTCATACTTAGCATTAGATGTTTAAAGACTGGTGCATCAAAGAGTGGCATGTCATTTATAGTTAATAATTTTCGCCTGAAAGGAGTTCTCAACCAAAGCTATCAGATAGCAACGTTGCCACCAGCCGTTTTGTGGCACTCCGGAAGTGAGCATAGTTACGTTTCTTCAAAAAAGCCCCTCTAGTTTTCTTAAAGGATTCTTATTTGAAAAACCAGAGAAATAGACATTCTAATTTAGCTTTTATATTTCAAATATAGGGCACAGAGGATTGGGTTATTGTAGACAAAATACCCACTGAGGTAGTTGATGGTGACTCAAAAAGAATTGTCACTTACAAAGTAGTGACTGTGAGCAGCAAAACTGGTGATATCCCTGCTGAAGTGTTAAAATCCAGCGCTATTGAAATGCAGAGTTTTGATGACTTAACGCGGGAAATGCAGTGGAGAGAAGAGAGCAAACAGAAAACATACACTTTGGGAAAATCTTATGATACCGTCTCTGGAAAAATTGTGACCATGACAGGAAAAGCTAAAGAGGGTGAAAAGGCAGGGGAGCCCTCCACGCTTGACACCCTCCAGAAATTTGAGAGAGGGATGACAGAATCTGTGAAAATCATCCCCGGAATGACAGAATATGAGGTTCTAGAAGTCATCTCAGATGACAAGGCCAGGAGAGGATCTGAGGTACAGATTGTGAAAAGGAAATTGTCAGAATCTCTGGCCCCCATAAAGGAAGCGGAATCCCGGCTGCCAAGTCCGGATGAAGAAAGTCTGAAGAAAACCCAGAAACTGGAAAAGGATTTGGAATTCCATACCAGCCTAGGAAGTATACAGCCTACTGGAGTAGAACAAACACCAGACAGTGAAGCTTTAAAAGCAGGGTTCTTTGCTCGAAAAGAGAAAAGCCCATCTGAATGGAGATATTCCCGGGAGCCAGGATTCACCATTGCCACTGCTCATTATGTCACTGAGTCATCTGCATCCCGAGTGGTGGTAACCAGTGACTCTTATATGTCCTGTAATTTAAAGAATAAAGCATGGCTTTTTTTGGAGCCATACCCTTCTACCCTGAACCTTTCAGTTTCTCTTGCTACTTGGCTTTATGTTGACAACAGCCAACCCAGCTTGTTTATTTTCTCATCATTAAATAAGGACGGTAGTCCAATGTAGACATTCAGCCTTGCACTTTTATTTCAAATTCCCTGTAACTGAAGTGTAATATCGCTGCTGTGGCTTGCAAAGAAAATGGAGAGAGAAAGGTCTGCTTAAACCAGCATCATCCCAATCCTAATAACTCTGCTTTTTAAAAGAAAAAAAAAAGCTTAGAGTCACTACAGATTTGTGCTGTTTTTTCCCATTCCTTTCTGTTCCTGACCTCAGTCTCTCAGATTTCTTCCTTTCCTTCCTTTCCCTCTTGCCTATGGCTTTGTTAAAATAACATGTATGAATGTGTGTGTGGGTGAATGTTCTGTCCTGTGTCTGACTCTACATTTCTTTGTTTACTCAGACTAAGTCCGCCAGTGAAAAGATCTTGGATGGCTCAGATATCTTCACTTTAATAGACTCTGCAACAAAACCCACAGAGTTCATAGGAGGGGTTACTACTTCTTCACAAAAATGGGTTCAGGTGGCCATTTGCTTTCCTTTTTGGCTTTTCTGACTGTCCACATTGATGTTTCTTGCTTTGTGTCCTTCCTGCAGTGTGTGTATCTATGTACATTCAGACTATGGCTTTGTGCACACCTGTGTGTGAGTGTGTGTGTGTACATATATATATATACATACACACACACACACACATATAATATGAATATATACTTATATGATTTTGCACATATGTGTCTATACATTTGTCTATATACATATATGTGTATGGGTATATAGACATATGTGGCTTATACATACATGTGTGTGTACATGCGTGCATGTGTACCTGTGTATGCAAGTTACTTTGCCCTAAAAAACACTTTCAGAATGTCTTAGGTTATTTTACTAGCATGTGTTTATCATGCCTATCATTATATTATTATTATGTCTATAGTATGCCTTTCATTCGTCTCTAATAAAGTAAAAAAAAGTTCATAAAGCTTTCATACTGTGAATCTCTGTAGTATGTATTTTTATTTTGTTTTACTTGGCTTAGCACCTGTCCCTAGTCTGTTGATATCAACATGGATATTCTGTAATATTTTTATTTTAATGCGTGTGGTTTTTTTAATATTGCATTTTGTTCTTCTGTTGCACATATTCTGAAGTAATAGCCTAGATTTCTGTTGAGGGCTAAAACAGATGTTGGAAGAGGGAAGGAAAAGGGATGGAGTTGGGGAAGATTGATTTTTTTTTAATACCTGTTTCCAATGTTTAGCCTTTAACATAAACATTGGACAACTGGGTAAGCACCTTCTGTTTTCTCTTTTTGTTTCTGAAGAGGCGTCCTGACATCCTAATCTTTTTCCCTGCAGAGAACAGAAACCAAGTCGGAGCCCAGTGAAATAGAGAAGGAATCATGCGAACTTCACCAGCAGCTTAGTGCAGAGAAGGTTGTTGAGCAGACGGTGGTGGTGGAGGAGAGACATGTGATGAATGTGCATGCAAGTGGGGATGGTTCTAACCTGGCTGGAACTCATTTGGATGCTGCAGCTCAAGCAGCATCTGCTGTGGCTTCTAATATTACCGGGAAGGCGGGTTCTGCTCTGACTGAGGGGGCTAAAGAGGAGAAGAGGGAGGAGGCGGAGGCTGATAAAGCTGTAATCAAACAGGAAGAGATTGCCACTGCTTCTCATGAGCGAGAGGAGGAGCAGACTGCAAGATCCCTCATTTCGGAATCATTGGAATCTAAACCTCATTTGGAGGTAACTAGTGGTCCTTTCTGTGCTAAAGGCAAACTAATCAATTCTGTCCTGGAATTGTTACCTCAAGAGAGTTCAAATGAGCACATGGAGTTCAGTTTGGTTCTCTCTCTTTTCAAAGTGCAGTTTGTTTCTCCTCGTATTTCCTTCCTGCATGGCAGTTACAGGGCTTGTTGCTGGTTTCCATCTTTGGCAACACTTAATGTGGTGATGTGGAAAGAACCCTGGACTCAGTCGGGAGACCTGGGTTCTGCTCCTGCCCCAGTCACTTAGCCGGCTCTGTAACTGTGGAACAATCATTTAACCACTCTGAGATGTTTCCACATCTGTAAAATGGAGCTGGTGATAATTGCCCTGCCTATCTCAAAACAACAAAATGGTTGTGAGGAAGCCTTTTGTAAAGTGCTGTGGAAAAGGCAGGTTTTACTAGTCATCACCTAGAGAGTTCCAGGAGATATGGCATCTCACTCTTGTAATCCTTAAATTGGCAATGGGGGATAGAAGGTTTGATCCATCAAAAAAAATTTAGGTGATTTGATAGGTTTTACTTTTCTTTTTTATACATTTATTTGAAAGAATCCAGAAATCCAAGTTCCCATATGGTGAATACCAAAAATTGCGGTCAAAAATTATTCCTTCAACTTTGTCCTCCTAGAGAAGAACTCCTTTTGGGATTAATGAACTGGCTGTTGATTTCTTATCCTACTTCCAAAGGAAAAATTAATAGATAACAGGATTGTGTTATTAGTCTGTACAGTAGGAGTTTAGGATGGGGAAGAGAGGAAAAATCACTAGAAGTTTTTCCCCAAAATTCCTTCACCTGGAACATTTTAACAAATGTAAAGAATGCCTTAGAATTCCGAGAGATTCTATTGTCCTATATGTGTGTGGGCCTCATGTTTTCCTTGCTCCCCATGTAATGCAGCATACATATATTCCACACTAATATAGTGCTTATATCATTAAAAAAACACACACAGAAAAAAAAAAGAAATGTGTCTCTAAACTGTAATAATCACTCTCCCTGTTTCCCATTGACACAGTCAGCATCTGTGAAGACAGAAACCATTAGTTTTGACAGTGTCTCCCCAGGGGGAATAAAACTGGAAATTTCAACTAAGGAAGTGCCAGTAGTTCATACAGAGACGAAAACCATAACATATGAATCATCACAGGTAAGACATATGGTAGAGGCCAAGACATTCTTACTTTTCTCTAATTTAGTCTTACTGTGTTTTAGCCTGAATTTAATATGAACTGTTTTTTATGAATTTGATTTTCAGTTAATGACAGTTGGAAAGCCCAAACCTCATTCTGTTATCTTATCAATAGATATTGGTAATTTAAACAAAAAACTCGTATTAAATGTAATTATTGCAGATCATAGAGCACATGGCTATAACAACTGGATTTGCCTGTCCATTTGTAACTCACATAGGCTTTTGAACATGACACAGCATGATATAGATTCTCGCAAACAGGATACAAGAATAGCAGCATTGAGCACTGGACTTAGAGTCATAGTATTTAAAAAAAGAGAGAGACAGACTATAAAAATTATCTAGTACAACCACGTTGTTTTACAGATGATGAAATTGGCATGGAAAGGAAACCCCACTCTCACAGACAGGAAAGTAGTCATCTAGACTCTTGCTTGAAGACCTCCAAGGAAGGGAAACCCACTCCTTCTTGAGGGTAGCCCATTCCACTTTTGGCTGTCTCTAATTGTTAGGAATTTTTTTCTGAAATCAACCCTAAACTGATCTCTTCACAACTTTCAACCATTGCTACTGGCTCTAGCCTTTGAGGCCAGATAGAGCAATTCCTCTTCCTCTTTCTATTTGAAATGCTTGAAGGTAGCTATTATGTACTCCCTGAGTTTTCTCTTCTAGAGACTAAAAATGCCCACTTCCTTCCATTGACCCTCATGTGACATGAACTCAGTTCTGTTCAACATCATACTTCCTCCCTTTGGAAAATCTCTAGCTTATCAATTTCAAATGACTTATCCAAGGTCACACAGTTCATGCATAGCACAGCCAGAATTTGAGCCCAGGTCTTCTTCCTGTGGAGCCAGTGTGTTTTCTATTACATCAGAGAATTGGAGTTCAAATCACAGATGTGCCATTTGCCCATCAGTATGACCTGAGTCAAGTTAGTTTCATCATCTGTAAAACTGGGGTGTTGGACTAGATCAGAGGCTTTTAGTCTTGGGTCTGTGAACTTTCTTTAAAACATTTGATAATATGATTGATTTCCTTTGTAATCTTGTATATTGTATCTGTTTAAAAACATTATTCAGTGAAGAGCTTTATAGGGTTAATTATCCTATGAAGTGGTCTGTAGGCTTTGCCAGACTGCTGAAGGGGTCTGTTACACAAAAGAGGGTAAAAACCTTAGTACTCTTTGATGTTGGGATAGGGTGCCCTTTCCTCAATATATTTTGAGAGTGAAAAATAAACCTCTGTTGTGTTAAGAAGATGAAGGAAAAAATAAAAATTTTCTTCTCCTCAGCTCTCTAAACCTCTGGTTGTTTGTGAATATAGACAGGAGTGTTTATTTCAGTAGTGCAGATAAAATTGTTAAAAATATTTTTGTAACTTAGGGTGTGTTTTTTCTCCCTTCCCCTTTGTGGGGTAGGTGGATTCCAGTGCTGATACTGAGCCAGGTGTATTGATGAGTGCACAAACAATCACATCAGAAACAACAAGTACTACAACCACCACACACATCACCAAAGTAAGTGAAAAACAAATTTTATTCCCCCTACCCCCAAAAAGACCAAAACAAGCAAACAAAACAACACAACTTTTTTGAATTTAAGTCTAAAGTTCAGTGAATTTTTTAAAAAATCCCTCCAATGTGTAAAGCCCTCCCCCAGGAGAGCACTGGGCATTTTTATACTATTGTATTGATAACAAGATGTATCACCACTTGAGTATTCATCGAGTGTCTCTTCTATGCTAGGAGACATAAAGCAGACGCTGTCCTTATGGAATTTAGCACTTTGTTCCATTCCTTATATGTTACAGATGTTCATTAAGTATTTGCTACTCTTAAAGTCTTTGTACATCTTAGCCTCAGTTCTAACCCTAACATTTTAAAATCTTTTCATTAATACTCTTTCGTTTTTTAAAGAGCAAACTATGTTAAACTGTTCTCTCCACATTTTCAGGTTTTGTTTTCTTCCTGCGAAAAATGAGCATTCTTTTTATGACTACATTTATAAAGTGTGCCTTTGTTCCTTTTAGACTGTGAAAGGAGGCATTTCAGAGACAAGAATTGAAAAGCGAATAGTCATCACAGGAGATGCAGACATTGACCATGACCAGGTAGCGTGCATATGCTAGACGATACCTGGGCAGAGGACCAGAAAGAAACTTGATAGCCATAATAGTTATAATACTATTTCTTCTGGCATGTTCTCTGAAAAAAAAAAGTATATTGGATAAACTTTTCAAAGAATGATGGCATAATTCATATCTAAGTCATTCTTCCTCATTTGTAAATTGTGTAAAGATCTCATGAATCTTCACCTGGCTACTGATCATGCATGTTCCACCTCCTTTTTGTTTTTGCCCTTCTGTGGTTTCCCGGGGATAGGCGCTGGCTCAGGCAATTAAAGAGGCCAAAGAGCAGCACCCTGACATGTCAGTGACCAAAGTAGTGGTACATAAAGAGACAGAGATCACACCAGAAGATGGAGAGGACTGACCCCAGGTAAGAGGCATAGATGACTGTCTTAGGCTCCATCTAGGCTGGCATGTGGCACAGGGCACTTCCTTTTCATTCTTCACCTTAATGCATTTCTCTTTTCTTGTTTCTCTCACTGGCATTTCTAATGGTGGATACCAAGAATATGAAGGACTTATCATTCGGGGGTGCTGGTTTACTTTGGATCTGTGCGTTCTTTATTTACTTTTTCACAGTCTGAGGCATAGCCTTTACTGCCAGTTAAAGAATTAAGAAGAGAACAGCTTTGGCTTGGGTGATCTTGCTGGCCGTCCCATATTATCCATGCTTTGATGTGCTCTTTTCATTGCCAAAATTTGAATTGTCAAAGTCAGTTTTCTCTTATTATGCCACCTAATCAGAATAAAAACCATTTTGTTCTGAAAGGTGCAATTTGTAAGTTGTGAACTGTGGAAACAAAATGGATCCATTTCTCTGTGTGATGGCAAAATTACCCAAATGTAGACTTCCCCTCCAAACTTGTTTTGGATCTGGCCCAGGCTGTATCTCCGTTTATATCTGAAAGCCTGAGAGGTTTTTTGCAATTTAGATGTCTTCTATCTCTTGAATTTTTCAGAATTGTTTGTGTGTGTATGTATATGTTCTAGTATAGCATTGTGTCTCAGAATGAGGCAGCAATGCAGCCTTTTTGCAATGACTCTTCTTCAAAATGGCATGTCTATCTAGCTCTTCTTTGGTGAGCACCATAACTAGACTGTATCTTCTGTATGTGCACAGATTTGTCATGCATACTAACCTGCTACACAAGAGCCCTCAATGCCTTGCTTTGAATGCTGAATGCAACAGCTGAGCTGCTTGTAAAGTTTGTTTTGGATAATGGCCTCTGGACTTTGGAAAAACATCTTACAAACATAAGTGTATATTTATGTTCTCTAGCATTGGTATAAGAAACATAGTGTGATGAGTGACATCTCTTTTAAAAAATTATTTTCCTGCTTCGGAAAAAAATGAAATCTAAAGATCATTATGTTCAGACTACTAATTTATTTTGGATGATGGAAACAGGCCTTCTGGAGTGAGTACAGCCACTTCAGTGGCATTGCATTAATTCTTTAAGAGAAAGCATATCATCAGCAGTGACATGTACTGGAATGATATGGTTATTTGTTGTCAGAGGAAGCATTTAACCTGAGAGACATTTCTCTTGCAACCCCCATTGGAGTGAGTCACTCCAAAGACTTCAAATAAATAATTAACTCATCAAATCTCTTTCCTGCAGGAATAATTTAGCTTGCATATGAATCCAGTCACGCACACCATTAGGAACACCAGAGCCTATATGGAGTCCCCGTTCTAACCCGACTGACTGACTTGTATCTGTCCGTGGAAAATTTCAGTCCAGAAGAATTGATCTTGACTGTTAATAAAGACACTGGCAGAGAGATCTTCCCATAATAGAGCAATCCGATTCAGCATCAGTAAACCGATATTGCATGAAGCAACGATAAAATTGCAAAAGAGCAGCATTTTTAATTTTTACAAAATGTCTAAGTTTTCAGCTATACCTGCACGTTCATAACCAACAATATAAACAGTGATCTCATATAACACATAAACAATTCATGCCTTTCGTAGTTTATTATTAAAGTCTAAACAAAATGATAATTTGTTAGATGGCAAAACCTTTTTTGTTTACAAATTAAAGGAAAATTACCCTCAAATGCTAGAAGCTGTATAGGTACAGTGTATAATGTTTTATCACACATTAGATGTGCCAATAACACAGTTTATTCAGTAAACAACTTGAATCTTGTTCTTGTTTCATCTGGTTTTATTATTATTATTCCCCTATAAAATGATGAATCCCTAATCCTTGGAAATATTTAATGCTTACAAAATGTGCTTTGTATATCTGATTTAATACCTTATGAGGTAGTCATGATTTTAGTATTTCGACTTGATTTTCTTTCTGTTGTCTGCCTTGTTCTGCATTAAATCCAGAAAGCTTCTGTTTGCCCTTCACAGGTCCTAAATCTATAAATTGTCATTATTTTGGGGAAACTTGTACTTTCCTTATATTACAAGATTACTCTGTAATAACCATATTGTTTTTATTGATTTTTTTTTCCTTATGTTATTTGAGAAAAAAAGTGTTTCATTTCAAAACCTGGTCAACATTTATAATCTAGTTCAGAGCCAAGCCTTAAACTGTACAGAACTTCCACTGTAAACTATTGAGTGTTCAGTTATAAATATCCATTGAAGAGTTCTATTCTCCATCACACTGTCAACTGCATCACAACACATAGTGAATGTATGTTTCTGCATAGTGAAATAAAAGTGGTAAATGCATTCAAAACTGTATCGTTCTATGTCTAAGAATCTTAATATTGTGTATGTTCAATATGAGGGCAGGAATTGCATGACATCAAAGGCCTCATTCATCTACATGATATAGGTGTCTTGTCTTTCAATGGAGCACACTGTAGCACTCAGACCATTTGAGATATTGTGGTGGGGGCAGGGAGAGGAGAGTGAAAATGGAATGGAAAGCATGAAAATACTCTTGTCATTGCAAGGTTTGTTAAAGGTGCTCTGCAAAAGCATGCTCATCATTTTGTTTTGTCTCTAACTGAAGTGAAAAAAAAATCTACCATGGAATCTCACTTTCCAATGCTGAGTGAAGAAAGATATAGCAGCTCTAGAATAATTTTTTTCGGGCGGAGTATGAGGAGGCCCTCAGGAAAAGGAAGGGGTCTACTCTTTTCATTTTTCATCAGTTTCCTAACCAAACAAATGGAAGTGTGGTGTATGTTCTGCACACAATGCACTCAATGTACTTCCACAGATTGTTCAATATTGTGTGACTATAAGTGTGAGCCCTTCCTTAGTGCATCTACTCCCATGCCAGTGGCTATTTAAACTAGTGCTGACCTCATGCCTTCACTTTCTGCTTTGCCCAGCATTGAGAAATTTAAACTATCCTGCCCAAAGAGCAGGACACCTTTTGAAGAAAAGTTACATTAAGCCATATGTGTTAATTATGTGGAGGGATAAGATTTCTGTCACCCTCTTCCAGAGAACAAATACTATCAAGAGCTAATTAGCTGCCAGTCTGTGCAAATTTCAAGTCTCTTATGAATGCCATTGAGGAAATGAGTCATCATAAATGCAGATACTAGTCGGGTAAATCAGCACTGGACCTGTGGGAAACATCACATTACCTCTAAGGACTATCTACATGAAGATCTGTCCCATCTGTGCTCATAAAGATGTTGCCATTTTTAAACCTCATTGTGGCATTCTTGTCTTCATTTGTTTCTGTACTTAGTAATAGATGTATAGCTTTTATAATCAAAAAAGTCATTTAACAAAATGTCTTATTTTCTTTGGCTTATTTCCTCAAACTACTTGGTTGACAGTCTCTGAATTAGTGCATCCTTCACAAAAATTAATTAAATTGAAAAACCCCTAACACATCCAAATTCTACCTTCCATAGTGAAGTTCATTAATGCTAGACTATTTATTCAAGAGTAGTGCATGGTCTCTTGAACCTGATTTTAAAGGACCAAAATCTGTAGTTAACTATTTATGTGACTTTTGTGGTCATGTTGTTAGGCTTCAGTCAAAGTATGTATAAGGTAGGAAAGCATACTTGTGCAATATTTTCAAAATAACAATACCTTTGTGATGCTTCTTCAATGTGAAGTTAGCAAGGTTAGGGTTACCTGTTTTTGTTTTGGTTCTTCCAAAACCTTTCATACAGATCAATTCTTCATATTTGGGGAGAAAAAAATGGAAAAACATAGAAGTCATATTGTGCTAATTCTTTCCAATTTTATTTTTCCTGCCATTAATGATACTTCCTGTGAGTTTTATATCATCACAGAGAGGTTGAAAGCAATTTCGTTGTGGAATTTGGACAGTGTCTCAGGAAGAAAAACATATTTCTAGTTCTTACTACTGCAAGGCACATAGACTAATTTTTTTTTTTTTTAATACAAGTAAAAGAGTTCTTGAATCAGCCACTAACAACCTGGATTTTTTGTGTGAGATTTTTTTTGCCGCTGAGAGATGGCAAGATCAGTCAGTGATGTTGCCATTTGTCAGGGTTGGTGTAAAGAAAATTTCTCTGTTTGTGAAGAATGGGTGAGGCAGTAAGACTTAGAAGATCTTCCAGCATTCTGATGGTATGATTCATGATTCCTTTCATCCAAGCTCCATCCTTAGCTTTTTGACTACGAAGGTAGCTATGTTAACGGTAAGTCTGAAATATAAGTGCTGTAATTTAAGAAAAGGATCTTTCAGAGAGATATCGTATCTGGTAGGTGCATTGTTAAGATGTAGAGTGGCCCTGGCAGCAATAAGCATACAGCAGCATTATATCCAGTTATGTTAAAGATCCAGAACATTTGTCCTCTAATGATGACTACCTTTGAAAATGCTATTATTCATCACGTACAAGGCAAAATACTTCCCTTTTCCCCTTTAGTCATGTCTTCCTCATGACCTGTTGAGGCCTTTCTCCATATTGGACCTCTCTAGAAACCTCCCACACTGCTTTTAGTCTAACCTTTACTTACAACTGAAATCAGGCTTATGAGGTTTCTAAAAGCTTGGACACAGTGGCTTAACTGATAACTGCTGGGGTAGATGAGCATGTAAGTCAGGCTGCCAGGGTGACCATTGTCATTACCTAGTTTCGTAGATGCAGAATGCAGAGCACAGAGATAACAAATTCTGATTGTCTTTTTCAATTGCCTGACAGCAGTTTCTCTTAAGTTTTAAGAATCCCATTTTTATGGGAGTTTAATGATATTTCTTAAAAAAATACATGAAATTTGATTGGGGCAGGAGGGAAGGGGAAGGAATAGAGAAGAAACATAATAAGATACATAGGTCTTCTTCACTTAGACTCCTCTTTTAAAAATTTGCAAGCATGGTGAGAGAAATTTATTATGGACTTTAGATAGATTTATCAGGAAGCAAAAGCACCAAAGAATATCTTAGAGAATTCTTTTTTGCCACGTTTAGATTGAGGTGATCTTTCTACTCGCTTTACAACCCCTTTATTCTTTCGCACTGTCAAACTATGTGTCATGCTCTGTTCTAGCACATCCTTCTTGACAACTATTTTAAAATTAAACAGTCATTACATTAGGTAGAAGAGAGAAGCCCCATCTCTAGGTAGGTTTGACTCCCAGCTCCGTGATTCCTGTTAACTTGTGTAACTATTAACAAACTCCTTGAACACTCTATAAAATCAAGATAATAGTACTCACACAAACTATTCAGAGGAAATGCTAAAGAACACAGAAATGTGAAGTATCATTTTAGGTGTAGGTTTAGGAATAAGGATGGATCCTGTGACTTCATTTAGAGGGAAAGGAACAGGAAAAACAAAAATAAATCTTTGAAATGTTCTATAATTGAGGAAATGTTCTTGTGCCTACTATATACTACTAGCTATAGGTTGTGGTCTACCGATGTCCAGGATTTTGTCTTTTCTTCCTCAATGAGTTCCACGCCTGACTCACATTCTCTTTCTCCTTCCCATCTCCTCCTTTCATATTAGAGACTGAAACTCACATACTGATAGTTCCTCAAACACCCTAATCACCCAATTCCTCAGTTTACTGATTTCTCATGACCTTCTCCTCCACCCTTCTGTTGCACAGTGGTGGTCATATTTTTGATCTTTCCATCATCCTCCAGTGCTCTATTTCCATGTTCATGAACTCTGAAATTACCTTATCTGATCACCATCTGTTGTCTTTCCACCTCTCCCTCTGCCTTGAAACCACAAAATCTATTCTTTGTCCACATCACGACCTCCAATCCCTCCACCCCTCAACTCTTTCTCAAACCACAGCAGCTCTTCAAAATATTTTCATCCCTTCTTAAAGCCTCCCATGGACTCTTCTATCCCCCATCCTCTCAGCTAGGAGAATATTATCTCATACTTTACTGAAAAAAAAAAATTAAAAATACCAAGGCCATATTCTGAGAATCTCCCCTCCATGTCACATTACTAAAATGTTACTTCCTTCTCCTTCACTTCTGTTTCACATGAAGAAGTGCCCCTTCTTGCCAAGGATCTCTATATGCACAAGTAATCCCATTCAGTTCAGTCTTCACCAGCAATTGCCCTTTCTCATCCCCACTCTCATTCATCTTCAGTCTCTCCCTGTCTGCTAGATGCTTCCCTGATGCCTACAAACATGCCCATGTACTCCCCTGGCCTCAAAAAATCCTTCATTTGATCCATTTAGTCCTGCTAGCATCATATCTCATCTCCCTTTTCTGGCTAAACTAGAGAAGGCTGTCTACAATCAATGCCTCTACTTTTCATCTTACTCCATTCTTAACTCTGCAATATAGATTCTGACCTTAACACATAACTGAAATTAGTCTCTCCAAAGTTATCAGTGAATGATCTCTTAATTGCCAAATCCAATGGCTTTTTCTCCTCATCCTTCTTGATCTTTCTTCAGCCTTTGACAGTGTTGATACTCTCTTTTTTCTTGGTTTTCATGACACTGTGCCCTCTTGATTCTCCATTACCTATCTGACTGCTTCTCAGTCTTTTGGTGTGTCCTCTTTTGCTTGATCTTAATCGAGGGCATGCCTGCTCATGATGAGTGTCACCCAAAGGTCTGTCCTGGGCCCTCTTCTCCCTCTATGCTCTTTCATTTGGTATTTCACTTCTCATCAGCTCCCACGATTTCAACTATCATCTCAATGCAGATGATGCAGATGATTCTGATTTATTTTGTCCAGCCCTACCTCTCCTGACCATTAGTCTCACATCTCAAATTCCTTATTGGACATTTTAGACTAGAGTTCTCATAGACATACTAAACTCAACATGTTCAAAACTGACTAAATCTTCCCCTCTTCCTAATTTCCGTATTACTGTTGATACCACCATCCTCCCAGGTCCCCATGCTCACAACCTAGGTGCCATTTTTGACTTACTCTTGCCACCTCCTCCCGTAACCAATCAGTTGCAAAGTCCTGTGGTTTCTACATTTACAACATTTCTTATATACCCTTTCTCTCCTTTGGTATTTTCACCACTCTAGTGTAAGCCCTTACCTCATGTCTCGGCTATTCCAATAGCCTGCTGGTTGGTCTGCCTACACTCCAGTATGTTTTATACTCCGTTGTCAAACTGATCTTCCTAAACTACAGATCTGACCATGTCACCACCATACTCCCAACCCCTACCACTGAATCAATTCGAGTGCCTCCCTATTACTCCCAGGATCAAATATAAAATTATCTTGCTTGGCTTTTAAAGCTCTCCATAACCTGCGCCCTTCCAACCTTGTCAGTCTTCTTACCCCTTACATTTA